AGTTCCAGGACAGCTTGGGCTACAGGGAGACCCTGTCTCAAAAAGACCAAAAAAAAAAAAACCTTGGTAGTTGTCATTTGAGACAGGGTCTCCCTGTAGCCCCGACTGGCCTGGAACTTACTATGTAGACCATCCTGGCCTTGGGCTAACAAAAATCCATGTCCTTCTGCCTCCTGTGGTAACCAAGTAAGTCAGGATTTCCCTGCTCCTTCCTTTAGCAGAAAGAGACCTAAACCCAGTGCTTACTGAGGCAGGTATATGTAGTATATGGATAGCTTTCATATATCACATGCTGACCATGTCCTGGGCATTGTGTTAACACAGCTATTAATAAACCAGTACCATGTTATCTTGTTTTTACACAGCAAACTACAGCTCAGTACTAGGAAATAATCATGTTCATAGAGGTTCCTTCCTTCCCAGCAAACTGGCCTCAAAAGAGAATACAGACATCAAAAAGTGCTAGTGCCATTCCATCAGATAAAGGTATTTCAGCACATGGAAGCAGGTAATGCTGCCTGAAGGCTCTGGAATGTATAGAAGGTTCTGGAATGGAATTCCATGTGTAGCCTCCTGCACATGAAAAGCAGACTTTTAAGAAGTGTGGATGAGCCCAGTGTGGTGGCACACACCTTTGATCCCAGCACTTGGGAGGTACAGGCAGTCAGATCTCTGAGAGTTCAAGGTCAGCCTGGTCTACATAGTGAGTTCCAGGTCAACTGGGGCTACAGGGAGATCCTGTCTCAAAAAGACCAAACAAAAAAAAAAGAAGTTTGATTGAGCTTACCTGATACTGGGGTGTCATGTGGGAGGTCCCTGGGGCACATCTGAAGAAGGCCATTGAGTGCAGGCTCCCCTGCTTGGGCTTTTCTCTACAGGCTGCCTCCACATGAGGAGAGGTATATCCAGTGCTGGGGGACTGTGACCCTCCATAGTGCCACCTGTGTTGGGGTGAAAACTTCCCTGCCAGCTTTGGCAGCAGCTTGGGGGTATAACACAAGGGGGAGCTGGCAGGTGAAAACAACCACATCACCTAAGGATAGTAACTAAAAGTGAAACTGGATAATAGAATAGTGACCTTCAAAGGCCAGTCCCTCCTGGTACTCAGAACTTGTGGCCAAGTTAACTTTATATGACTAAAGGACTTTGTAGATGGATTAAGGTAAACATCCTGAGATGGAGAGGGTGGCTTGAAGTATTTAGTGGGCACATGAACAAAGCTGAGATGTCCATAGCTGTAGTCAGAGGAAGAACCACAGGGGTACTTCCCTTCCTGCCTTTGAAGATAAAGTGCCCATGTCCTGAAGCTGGGAGGAGCTAGGAAAGAGAGAGACCATTTTTTCCTTGGAACTCCAGCAAGGAATGAAGCCCTGCTCAGTCCCTGAACTTAATTAACCCTATGTAATCCATGTCATTTTGAGGGTCTCCCTGCAGCCCCAGCTGTCCTGGAACTCACTATGTAGACCAGGCTGGCCTTGAACTCACAAAGATCTGCCTGCCTCTGCCTCCCGAGTGCTGGGATTAAAGGCGTGCGCCACCATGCCCGGTTCAGATTTCTACCTTTGAAAATGACAGTTACTGGGGCTGGAGAGATGGTTCAGGGGTTAAGAGGACTGGCTGCTCTTGCAGAGGACCCGGGTTCAGTTCCTAGCACCCACATGGTGGCTAACAACCAACTGTAACTCCAGTTCCAGTGGATACAATGCCCTCTTCTGGCCTCCATGGACATTGAATTCATGTGATACATTATATACATATAAGGTGAGACATTAAAACACATAAAAAATAATTTAAAAAATAAAATTACATTTATCTGTTTATTTATTTATGTATATCCTTTTGTGTGTGGACATGCATGTGCAGGTCAGAGGACAACTTGTGGGAATCAGTTCTCAGCTTCTACCATGTGGATCCTGGGGACTGAACTCAGTTCATCAAATTTGGTGGCAACTGCCTTTACCTTCTGAGCCACTTCACTGACCCCAGACTTCTCTCTTATGGAAGCATATAATACACAGAAGATGTTAATAATAGGAGAGACAGGACCTGTGGGGCATGGAAACTCTGTATTATCTTTGCAATTTTTCTGAAAATTTGAAGCTGTTCTAAAAAGATTATTTAAAATAAAAATAAGCTGTGTGTGGAGGCACTTGGGTAGGTCCCAGTTACTTGTGAGGCTAAGATAAGAGGGATGATTGCTTAAGCCCAGGAGTTTGAGACCCATCTAGGCAACATGGCAAGACCTGGGAAGGTAGCTCAGTAGTAGAACACAGAACACTTGCTTAGCATTTGCAAAGCCCTCAGTTCAATCCCCAGGATTGTAAGAAAGAAAACAAAACAAAAAAGCAGTTGGCTAGGTGTGGTAGCATGCCCCTTTAGTGCCAGCACTAGGGAGTCAGGGGCAGGTAGATTCCTGTGAGATTGAGGCCAGCCTGATCTACAATAGCAAATTCTAGGCCAGCTGGGGCTAAAGGGAGACCCTGTCTCAAAAGACCAATAAATAAATAAATAAATAAAAAATAGAAAATTTTAAATCCTAAATCCTATGCTCCGTCCCCAAAACAGAAGCATTGATTTTATTTCATTGGTCTGAACGGCACTTGGGCATCTGCTTTTTTTCCTTTAAATTTTAAATCATTTTCAGGGTCCCCAGTTGGCCTGGAACTTACTATGTAGACCAGGCTGGCCTGGATCTCACATAGATTCACCTGCCTCTGCCTCCTGAGTGGCAGCATTACAGGCATGCACCACAGCTCTAGGCTCAGTGTCAGTTTTGAAAGCTCCCCAGGCAATTGTGCCTTGAGACATGCATGCATTCAAAGCACCTGTAACAATACACAGAACAATGGAAATGAGGTCTGTGACTAATTAGAGTGCAACCTCTGAAAGAAACTGCACACACTACTGTAAGCATTGTGAAACTGAAAATCCAGAGAGAACTGAAAATGAAAGCCAAGTCCTGCCCTGCAGCTTCTCCCTGTCTTAGGTGAGCACCCTAAACTGTTGTGTTTTCTCCTGAATATCTATGTTTATTATGATTCTGCTTGCAACAAAGCTGAGCTCTGGGGGGCAGCCTTGCTGCCCAGCCTTAGAGCTGTTTTTGCATTCTTGTCTTCAGGGAGGGTTATCAGCCCAGCCCAGTGGTTAATACTGAAATGCTGAGAAAACCAAGGGCAGGTAAAGCAGGTCTTGATGATGCCACCTGCTTAATTAACTGAGGCCACTGTTTGGCCTCTGGCACTGTCACAGATCACCAGATGGAAAGCCACTTCTATGTCTTTCCTGCCTCTCTATTTCTGTCTCTTCCCATGCCTGGACATACAAAAATGTGCAGCCCAGAATGTCAGAGGCAAGAGACAAGAGGATTGCTAGTGTGAGGCCAGCCTGGGCTGCACATTCATTTCTAGCTTGGGTTACATAGAAAGACTCTGTCTCAAAAAGAAAGAAAGAAAAAAAAAGAAGCCCAGAAGCATCTTCAGAATCAGGGTGTGCAGGTCAATCAAACTTTAAAGACCCTCTAGTTGTGTTTATCTGGCAATTGTATTGTTGGAGAAACCCGATAGGGGATAGGGCTTGCCCAAGACAAATTCAGTACTCAAAGTCAGGTTTCTCTAGACCCAAGTCACATGTATCTGAAGATCGAACACTCAGGGAATTTGTCAGTTTTTATTGGTTGGATTCTTGCTGGGCTGATTACAGTGAGGGGCCGCCTTTTCTCCTTGGGAGACACAGCATGGGAGATGGCCAAGGGCATTAGGGCAATTTTGAGGGTCTTTATGTACAGAGTAGGCAGTCCACCTTTAAACTTCTGCTGACTGAAGGAAGGTAGGTTTGAATCTGATGGTTCTGACTGTAGAGACATTGTCATTAAACAATATTGTACTGTCTTCATGAAAGACAGAGAAACAAGGAGTGGAGGAGTGAAGGAAAGAAAACATGGATTGGATGGGAAAATGAAAGAAAAGGGAATGAAGGAATATTTTTCTATATTTTTATGTTATTGGGGGAGGGAGCTGGGGATTGAACTCGGCTTTGAGCACACTAACCATACATAACCTACGGCCTCCTCCAGCCCTGCTTTATTTTAAGGGTCATTTATTTCTGTTTTGTTTTCGTTTTTGTTCTTTTGAGACGGGGTCTCCCTGTAGCCCCAGCTGTCCTGGAACTCACTATGTAGACCAGGATGGCCTTGAACTCACAGAGATCTGCCTGCCTCTGCATCCCAAGTGCTGGGATTAAAGGCATGCACCACCACGCTCGGCTTATTTATTACTATTTTATGAGTGTTTTGCCTGCATGTATGTATGTGTACCACCTGTGTGCCTGGTGCCTGCCGAGGCAGGAAGAGGGTGTCAGATCTCCTGGAACTGGAGTTATAGGCAGTTGTGAGCCTGGTAACCCAATCCTGGTCCTCCGTAGGAGCAGTACATGCTCTTAACTGCTGAGCCATCTCTCCAGTCCTTTATTTTCTTTTTAGTGGAATGGTTGACACATAAGATATGTGTAAGCATGTAAGTTATAGTTTAGTTATAAAGCATATTACTGGAATGAAAACCTTTGAACCCACCATCAACCTAAGACTAGATAGAAATTTACCAACGACTTGTAACAGCGGTTCTTGACCTCGGTTGCCTACAGAACGCACCCGGGGAGCTTTGCCAATCACTGATACTTTCAGAAAGCCTGATGGGATTCCCTGGGCAGCTCCCCGGATGATTCTCATGTGCCTTGTTTGAGAACCACGGGCTTATATCTTCGCTATCCTATCCCATGGCTTCCATTCTCCCCTCTTTCCCTTCCACTCCCTCAAGGTAACCACCACCCTGACTTTTGCTTAAGGATGATTTTTGACCCCTTTATTCCTACCTCAAGGACTGATTACGTTTGTGATCGATTTCCCTCTTACCAGGAGGAGGCGCCAGAGAAACACCACAGCTTTCTTCTTCCTCCTGCCAGCGTCCAGTGCCGCGCTGCAGGTGGTTTGGTCCTCGCGGCGCTCCGTAGTCAAGCGCTGCTGGGCAACGGGCGGGGAAACGGCCGGCGTCACCACTGGGCAGGACACCGCGGGATTAGCGGAACCTGGAGAGGGCGTGCTGGAGCTGCGGCAGTGCGACTCCTCCGGAACTTCGGGCGCAGAGAAACGTGAGTCCGAAGTTGAGCTGGGCCGAGGGGCCGTGGAGGGCCTCGCCGTGGGCAGCGGGTGGGAGTGGAGCGACCTTGCTGGGACTGAGGGGGACCCGGAGAGGGGAGCGGGAGACCGGGAGAGGGGAGTGGGGAACCCGAAAAGGGGAGCCGGGGACCGGGAGAGGGAAACGAGGGACCAAGAGAGGGGTGCATCCTTATCAGGGAAGCTGGTCATTTCATGAGCTTTTAACTCTGAGTGCAAAGATGTATCCACGAGCTTCTTTGTACAGGACTAGGAAAAAAATGGTTAAGCGTGCCACAGCCTGAAGACTGAGGTCACACATCGAAGTTGCCTCCATTTGGCCTAAGGATCTGGAGTTGGAGAGTTCTTGTGGGCAAGTCTTAGGCCCACATCAAGAGGAGTTTCTGTCCCCACACTTTGTGGACCCTGCAGGAGGGCGGCTTTTGGGCCAGCAGACTGCTCTCTTATCTCCACAGCCCTAGTGGAATGCCTGACGCCCTACCTCTTAACTCCCTTGATGTCAGTTTCATCTGCCCTCCAAGATAGCTCTCAAACACTTTCATGTGTGCCTTGACACCTGGGCTAAGACCCCTCCCAAGAGGCTGTCAGAAGTGGGGTACGTTTACACCAACAGGCCACCTCTTAGGTGTGCTGAGCCAGGAATCATCTCAGAGGAATGTGAATTCTGTTTCTAGCTCCTTTATTTCCTTTACTTCCTGGTTTTATGGTCCTGGGCGAGTCATTTTACTTCTTTGAACATAAATTTTGTCCCTTAGCAAGTAATGGGGTGATTGTAAAAAGTTATATATAAGTTACTTTGGGGCTGGAGAGATGGCTCAGCAGGAGTGCTGGCTGCTCTTACAGAGGACTTGAGTTGGGTTTCTAGCACCCGCATGGTGGCTCTGATGCCCTCTTCTGACCTCTGAGGGCATTGAACACGTGTACTTACATACATGTAGGCAAAACATATATACACAAAAAATTTTAAAGGTGCTTGGCATATACTAAAAATGTTCTATGAATTATGTCCCTGGCCTTTAATCCCAGCACTGGGGAGTCAGGCAAGTGGATCTCTTTGACTTTGAGACCAGCCTGGTCTACATAGGGAGTTCTAGGCCAACCAGAGCTACACAGTGAAACTCTGTCAGAGTCCCCGATTAGTTCTTTTCATTTGTTTTTAAGATAGGGGCTTGCTATTTTGTCCAATTTGGTCTTGACCTTCTGAACTTGTGATCTTGTGTCAGTCTCCAGAGTAGCAGGTCCATGCCAGTATGTCCTACTTGCCCCTGTAGTTTTTTGTTTTTTTTTTTTTATTTCATTTATTGTTTTTATTTTTTGTGTATGAGTGTATTGCCTGCATCTGTATGAGTGCACCCCTGTCATGCAATAGAGGTCAGAAGAGGGCGTCGGAGGAACTAGAGTTAAGGACGGTTCTTAGCTGTCATGTGGGTGCTGGGACTCAAACCCCAGTCTTCTGCAAGAGCAGTCTGTGCTCTTACCTCCTGAGCCATCTCTCCAGCCCTGCCCCCATAGTTTTATACAGAGTCTAAAAACCCCCAGTGTGCCTAGGCCATCTTTGCTAGGACAAGCCTTGTGTCTCTGTAATGCCCCTGATAATGGCTAGCCCACTGCTGGGCACACTCTAGGTTTATTTAAATTGGTAAGTTGCAGCCTTGGCAAATCATTTAGAAAATGCTGACGCCTGGCCCCAGTCTAAGGTTTTTATTATTCAGTTGTTCTGGAGTGTGGCCCGGATGTGGGTCTTAAGGCATCACCAAGGGTGTGGTCAAGGGGTGAGTGCCACTCACTAAAGGCCATGTCAGAGCTCCTGGGTTTGCATTTGGCTCGCTTTCTCACTATTGCTGTTCCTTCAGATGGCACTCCCCACGCTGCCTTCTTATTGGTGCAGCCGGAGGCCCCTGGATCGGCAGGCAGCACGCCAGCGCCAGAGGGAACAGGCGGCCCAGCTTCGGCAGCAGTGGGAACAGAACAGCCGCTATTTCAAGGTGTCTGACATCCACAGCTCCAAGCAGGCAGAATGGAGCTCCAAGGCCTCCTACCAACAGAGGTGAGTATCCAGGCAGTCCTGCCAGCTGCATGAAAGTGGATGCCACTAATAGGTTAGGGGACTAGGGAGTGTGGCCTGACAGCATGAGTTACGTGCGTGGTGATGCTTTTCTAATTGGAAATTGGGTGGAAAAAAGAATAACTGGTGAAGTAACGTGTGCATTGAGATGTGTGCAGTGGAACCTGGAATCCTCTCTGTACTCCTACACTCCAGAGAAAACCACAGGCAACACTGGCATATGTCCTGTCTTTCCAGGTACTTTTTCCCTACGTGTGTTTATGTTCACACACACACACACACACACACATACACACACACACCTTTTTTTTTTTTTTTTTTTTTTTTGTCCTTTTGAGACAGGGTCTCCCTGTAGCCCCAGCTGTCCTGAAACTCACTATGTAGACCAGGCCTGCCTCGAACTCACAAAGGTCCACCTGCCTCTGCCTCCTAAGTGCTGGGATTAAAGGCATGCACCACCACACCCGGCTTTTTAAAAAATTTTTATTTGTATTTTATATGTATGATTTTGTTTTTTCCTGCATACACACACCTTTTTATAGAAATACACATGAAAATGTTGAGGTTGAAAAACATAAGCTCTCTTGGGGCTGGAGAGATGGCTCAGGAGGTAAGAGCATTGACTGCTCTTGCAGAGAACCCAGGTTTGATTCCCAGCATCTACATAGTGGCTAACAACCGAATGTAACTCCAGTTCCAGGAGCTCTAACACCCTCTTCTGATCTCTGAGCATTGCATACACAGGTGTACTTACATACATGTACAAAATACACATGCACAAACTGGACCTACTTTGTAGGATTACGGTGATGAGCATACATAGCCATCCATGTAGATAGTACTTGGCACATAATGGTTCATGAAATAGCTATTACTATTATCACATGCATATATAAGCCCATCAGCTTTTCTGATTGACATCCTGTTTTGTGACGTGCTGTCTTCACTGGCTAGGGACCCTTCCTGTGTCATTGTTAGGTCTACCTCAGCCTCTTTTGCCCATATGGTAGGATAGGCATGCCACCTGTGGCCTTAGTCTGACTGATACGTTGTGGGCTCCTCCTCACCTAGCATGCAGGCCTATCAGCGTGAGAAGATGAAGGAGGAGAAGAGGAAGAGTCTGGAGGCCCGGCGTGAGAGACTCAGGCAGCTTGTTCTGGAAGAGCAGGACCTGTTGGCCAGGGAGCTGGAAGAGCTGAGGTTGAGCATGAACCTGCGGGAAAAAAGAATCCGTGAACAGCACAGGAATCTGAAATCAGCCCGAGAAGAACAGAGAAAACTGGTACCTGCCAGAGATCCTGTGGAGGCTGTGGAGGGGAGTGCCCCTAGGCCAGACTGCTAGTTGTACCTGTGGAGTCATTCCTGATGCTCTGGTCTGATGAGATAGCCAGGTGATTCCAGAGTCCATGGGAAAAGCTAGTACACTCACTAGTCCCTGGGCTGGGAGTGTCTAGTATATCAGTCATTGCAGGGGATTCCTCCTTACTCCAATACTAGGACCCCACAAAGATCTGGAACTGGTATATTTTATCTTCCAAAGTAGTTATGGGAGCTAGCTTCAGTCTGTGTGTTTTAGGTCACTGTATGTTTGGAAACCCCTAAGAAGGACCCTTCCATAGCATCAGGACTTTGGTCTCTTAGCCCACTGCAAGACATTTGTGGGTACCACCCATTCAGTTCAGATGTCTGGCCCAGAGCTGTGTGTACAAAGAAAGGAGATTAGAGCAGCAGGAGTGCTGACACCGCTGATGGCCACAGCTTCTATTGTGTTTTGTCTGAAATGTGAATGAATTTGAACAGCAACATCAGGTGTCTTTCTGTGTTTTCTTGAAAGATTGCTGAACAACTTTTGTATGAACACTGGAAAAAGAACAACCCAGAACTTCGAGAGGTGAGAATTAAGAACCTTCCGTTGGTTTGCCTGAGGAGGTGACAGCTGGGTTGGTACTGAGGAGAGAAGCTCTTGCTACCTGAAAAGTGCACAAGGCAGAAGAGCTGGTACAGGACTGAGGATGGTACACCGAACCCTGCCACACAGCCTGCCTCGTTGGGTGTGCTCACTGTCCAGCCTCTGCAAAGGCAGGGGCAGATAGGGTTTGTAGGAGTGGGGGAGAACTTTAGGTGTTTTTTGTTTGTTTGTTTTTTTGAGACAGGGTCTCCCTGTAGCCCCAGCTGGCTGGAACTCACTATGTAGACCAGGCTCCAGGCTGGACTTGAACTCAGAGAGATCTACCTGCCTCTGCCTCCCATGTGCTGGGATTAAAGGCGTGCGCCACCACACCCAGCAGGGCATTAGGTTTTAGTTTGACGGTATGGCGTAAGGAAAGGGCCCTCTAGATGGAGGTGATTTGCAAGGATTGACCTGTGGCATGAGAGCAGAGTCCAGGGACTTGTAAAGGCCCAGATGAGTCTGGGATGCCCCATGAGGAAGAAATCCTAAGAGATGAGGTTGGTGAGGCAGATGAGGCCAGACCTTCCTCCAGAGGCACTGGACCACTTGTTTAGGGTTCAGTGATCCTAGCTGCATCTCAGAGTACTCCTGGTAGCCGTGTCATCAAAGTGAGCTGGACCAGGAGCAGTGATGCCTGTGGGGCTGCTTAAGGTGAAGGCCTAAAGTAGATAGCAGGGGACAGGCCACATGTGTAGGACCTGGGAACAGAGAAAGGGTTAGTTTTGGTTTGGAAACATCACTAAAGATTGACTGGAGGGGGTTGTTCCTATTACTGATAGGAATTCATTCATTTCAACAGTGGTTGTATAAGTTTGGTACTATTTATGTGTCATAATTATGTTTAGAAATTGCCTGTTGAGGGCTGGTGATATGTCTCATTGGGGAAAGGTGCTTGCTGCCAAGCTTGACCTAAATTTGATCCCTGGGGCCCATATAGTGGAAGGAGAGAACTGACAGCCACTCATTGTCCTCTGCTGTCTATACAATTGCCATGGTATGTACACACACACACAGAGAGAGAGAGAGAGAGAGAGAGAGAGAGAGAGAGAGAGAGAGAGAAAATGCAAATGCTTGAAAGCAAGTAAATAAAAGGTGTTTTTGAGTATTATGTGGTCTCCACTGACCTGTGGAAATCTTGTGCTCCTGTCCATCTGTTAGTGAGTGTTAGGGAGGGAGGAAATTCCAACTTCAGAAACTTCCAAACCAAAGCTTTTGGACTTGTGATTGGTTTTCTCTTGCTTGCTTTTTTTTTTTCTGTCTTTTTGAGACAGGGTCTCCTTATAGCCCCAGCTGTCCTAGAACTCACTATGTAGACCAGGCTGGCTTTGAACTCACAGAGATCTGCCTGGTTCTGCCTCCAAGTGCTGGGATTAAAGGTGTGTGAATTATGACAGTTTTATACATGCATATAATACATTTTGATTATACCCACCTCTCCCTCCCCCTTGTTTTTTAAAATTACATGTTTTTATTTATTGTGTGAAGGGGGCACATACTGCAGTGCACCTGTTGGGGAAATTTGCTCCTTCTACCATGTGGGTTTCAAGGATTGAATTTAGGTTGTCAGCAGGCCTTGGCAGCAAGTCTGAGCCATCTTGCCACTCCGTGTTCTCATGTTTATTTTTCTGAAATCAAGCCTTCATTTTTCATTTTACGTGTGTGTGTGTGTGTGTGTGTGTGTGTGTATACACACATGACCATGCCATGACACCCATGTGGTCAGGAGTTGGTTTTCTCTCACTGTGGGTTCTGAGAATTACACTTGGATCCTCAGGCTTGTGTGAGAAGAACTTTTTTACCTGCTGAGCCTTCTTGCTAGCCCTTTCTTCTTCATTTTGGAGACACAGGGTATCATATCATATCAAGGGCTGGCCTTGAACTCACGATGTAGCCAAAGATGATCCTGAGTCCCTGATCTCCTGCCTCTGCCTCCTGAGTGCTAGGATTCTAGATTCTAGTATGCCAGCTGTGCACTGCTGTGTTGGGCTACAGCAGCTGCTCTGCAGAGGAAGTTTTGGGGAGTCAAGCCAGCTATCTCCTGTGGCTCTGTCCCTGACACTTTAGACCAGTGAAAGGTGCCCTTGAAATTGTATTTCTATTTTAGTGTCTGCTGAGAAATATTTCCTGCTCACTTCAGGGCCACTGGGTAAGAATTTTTATTCCTTTATTCCAAGGTGTAAACTTGGCTTAGAAACATCTGCTCCTTGGATTTTCTAATTGCTTTTCATTCAGATTTTTGTTGTTACTGTAAATTATTTTAGGCCCAGGTTGGCCTCAGTCCCACAGAGATCCACCTACCCCTGCCTCATGAATGCTGGGATTAAAGTTATGAACCACCATGCCTGGCTCATGTTAATTTCATTAATTTGTGTGTGGTGTGTGTGTGTGTGTGTGTGTGTGTTTGTTTGTATGCATGCATATATATGTGCCATGGTGTGGCATGCGTGTGATATTCTGCATACAACTTGGAATTCAGTTCTCTCCTCTCACCTTGCTGAAGCAGGGTCTTTTGTTTCTGCTGCTGAGCTGTGTACTCTAGGCCAGCTAGCCTGTGAGCTTCTGTGCTTCTAAGCAGCTCTGTATCCATCTCCTATCTTACTTCAGGAGTGCTCGGATTGCAGGTGCATGCTATCACATCCTGCCTTCTTGCCTTTTATGTGGGTGGCTCTTGGCTTGAACTCAGGGTTTCAGGCTTGCAAGGCAGGAGCTTTTACCAACCCTTGGTGGCCCCCGTTCATACTGTTTTTGTCAGGGTCATCTTGCACCCTCAGTTTACTAAGGGAGTCATGGTCAGGTCGGAGCAAGTGGCACAGAGGCAGCACACTCTCTCAGTAAATGTCATACAAACCTGTGAGGAAATTAATATTCTGTCTTTCTAATCCTCAGATTGAATTGGACCTTCACAAGAAGCATGTTATAAACTCTTGGGCAGCGCAGAAAGAAGAGAAAAAGCAGGTATGGTCTGTGATGCCCACATGCTGCCTTGCAGCTTTCTTCCTGTCTGTGAACTGTCCTCTTGACTCCAGTGCTCTTTTTTGACTCCACTTGAGAAGCAAGCTTCTGCTCAGATGCTACATGTACAGTCTGAATGTCTGTTCTTTGTGTAAGTGCACGTACCTGTGGAGACCAGGGGACAGCCTTAGGTAATGTTCCTCAGGAGCAATCCACATCTTGTTTTTTTTTTTTTTTTTTTTTTTTTTTTTTTTTGTGGGTCTCCCTGTAGCCCGAGCTGGCCTGGAACTCACTACATAGATTAGGCTGGCCTCAAACTCACAGAGATCCACCTGCCCTTAGTGTATAGATGAAGCTGACCTCAATCTCACAGAGATCCTTCTGCCTCTGCCTCCTGAGTGCTGGGATTAAAGGCGTGTGCTACCACACCCTGTGATCCATCTTTCTCTTGTTAGGCTGCAGCTCACTAAGTAGACTCCAAGGAGCTCTAGGGATCCACTAGGCTCGGCCTCCCCAGTGTTGGCATGACAAGTGTGTATCACTGTGTCTAGCTTTTTTTATTAAAAATTTTATTTGGCAAGGTATGGTGGCACATGTCTTTAATCCCAGCACTTGGGAGGCAGAGGCAGGTGGATCTTTGTGAGTTCGAGGCCAGCCTGGTCTACATAGCAAGTACCAGGACAGCTGGGGCTACAGCGAGACCCTGTCTCAAAAAGGCCAAAAAAAAAAAATTACTTATTATTATTATTGTGCAAATGTGTACATGTGGAGGTCAGAGAGCAACTTTCAGGAGTCTGTCCTCCTCTTCCACCACAAGTTTCAGGGGTCAAGTTTGGGTCTTCATGTTTGCACAGCAAGCACTTTACTGATCAAATTATCTCCTCAGCCTTGGATGTTTGCTCTTGTGCGTACTAGGGTCCCTGGTAATCATTCCTGAGCAGAATGAGGCCAGGTGACAGGGTTGGTAGATGGTAGGTAGATCATGTGTCTCTAAAGGCATTTTTGTTGTCACTGGAGTTTCTTGAACCTGCATCATAAACTCAACCCTGGCTCATCACAGCACCTCCAGGGATAAGAGTCCATCACTTGGCCTCCATGTTCATTCTGCCAAGTGTTTTGTTGTCCTGTGAAGAGGGCCTGATGGTGCTGAACCTCTCTTGTGCACGGTTGCCCAGGGTCACACTGCTGAAGAAGGCTGAGCCTGCCTGGCCTATAGCCAGCTGAACAGCAGCAGGGAGCCGAGGCTCGGCTGGCTGCCTGTGACAGTGGTGACCTTTTGTAGCAAGAAGCCACTGAAGAGCAGGAGAACAAGTGGTTCGAAAATGAGTATGAAACAGCCCGCAGGGAGGCGATGGAACGGATGAAAGCGGAGGAGGAAAGGAGGCAGCTTGAGGGGAAAATGCAGGCTGAGGCATTGCGCCAGCAGATAGAGGAGCTGAAGCAGAAGGAGATGGAGGTGAGTGCAAGCAGCTGCTTAGGAGTGGGAAAAGGCATGTAAAAGGCCATTCTAAGAAGACCATAGTGGGGTTGGAGGGTCTGAGAACTGAGCAAGAGCTGCGTTCTCTCTTCTCACATGTGTGCTCTTTGGTGGTTCTGTCATGTTACATGGTGTGCTAGAACATTAGTGGTCTAGAGACAGTTCCTGTCCATTTGGATGTGTTTAGAGATCTTCCTGGACCTTCTTAGACTGTGGACTTTGCAGTGCACTGAGCACATGTGGCTTAGTAGGATGATCTAGCACACAGCTCTCCATTGGTAGCAGGCTCTGGGTCTCAGGACATAAGCCATGAGGGTTTGTGGTCCAGGAGGCTGTCTTTGAAACACAGTGCTCAGTTTCCTTCAGTGGCTGGGTCTCTCCATTCAGAGGGAGGCCCTATCCATGACCTCCTGTCCCTTTTTTTCCCCCTGAATGTTCTAATAACTAGAAACTTAGTGCCCACCACTAATTCTGTGTGCTAGGTGTAGGGCCGGAGTAAGGTGCTACTAACCACTGGCCTCATCCTGGTTGCCATGTTGATTGAGGAGGCAGATGTTAAGTTACAGGAAGTCTCTGTCAGGCTGGGCAAGGCTCTTGTAGGAAGTGGCTTAGCTCAGATGAAACAGATGAGCAAGTTCAGCTGGACTGAAGAACTTGGAGCCGCAGGGGTGGAAGGGATCCTGAAAATGGGTGGGGGGTCGGGGGGAGGTGCATTTGCAGTGTCTATCAGAAGTGGAGATGAGGCACTCTGGTTGCCTCATCTTGTGTTTATCTTCATAACCACAGGCAACCAAACTAAAGAAGGAGCAGGAGAATCTGCTAAAGCAGCGGTGGGAGCTGGAGAGGCTGGAGGAAGAGAGGAGGCAGATGGCAGCCTTCAGGCACAAGGCAGAGCTGGGGTATGTATGGGAAGTCCCAACTCTTCCTTGGCAGGCGGGCCTCTTGCCTTCTCAGATTTGTCTGGGGTGTCCCTACACCCAGCGGCCTGCAGAGAGCGGTTGTCTCACTCCAGTTATTGCTTGTGAAGGACTGCAGCAGCCTGTCGTTTCCCATCTTTAGGCGTTTTTTGCGGCATCAGTATAACGCACAACTCAACAGACGTACCCAGCAGATCCAGGAGGAACTGGTGAGTCTGAACTGATCTACCTCTTGGCAGTTTTTGACATCTTTTGAAACTGGTCAGGATATGAGTGCATTCTCCTGAGATTTAAAGCACAAAGGGGACTGGCCAAAGGTACAAACTTCTAGTTATAAGATGAAGTCGAGAAATCTAAAGCCTGTGTGTGGATTACAGTGGACAAGGCTGTTATTTCTTGAACTGTGCAGCTCTGTGGTGGAATATGTGTTTAACCTGCACAAGGTTCTGGGTTTTATCCCCAGCACCACAAAAGATAATTACTAAAAGAAATATACTTAAGTCCTTAGATAATCTTTTTTTTCTTTTTGGTCGTTTTGAGACAGGGTCTCCCTGTAGCCCCAGCTGTCCTGGAACTCACTGTAGACCACGCTGGCCTTGAACTCATAGAGATCCGCCTGCCTCTGCCTCCCGAGTGCTGGGATTAAAGGCGTGTGCCACCACGCCCGGCCCTAGATAATCATTTTTTAAGATTTAAAATTTTCACTATTAGCCGGGCATGGTGGGGAGGCAGAGGTAGGTGGATCTCTGTGAGTTCAAGCCCAGCCTGGTCTACATAGTGAGTTCCAGGACAGCTGGGGCTACAGGGAGATGCTGTTTCAAAAAGACCAAAAAAAAAAAAAAAATTTTCTACTATTGTCTGTGGTCGGGGCATGTACATGCCATAGCATGCATGTGCAGGTCAGAGAACAACTTCTGGAAGTCAGTACTGTCCTTCCATTGTAAGTTCTTGGAATCAAGCAGATCATCAGGCTTGCTGGCCCAGTCCATAGGTATTCTCACCACAGAAAAAGATGAAGTGATGTGGATGTTAATTGCCTTAACTAGTAATCATTTCACAAAGTGGACGTGGCAGAAAAGCATCCAATTCTGTTTCAGTGAAGCTCGTATTCAGGAAACAGAACAGGATAAAGTGAGATTCTCCTTGACCTGTCCTATAGTCTCCTTCCATCTCCAGAGACACCCATTCCATGTATAGTCTTTTAGGTCTATGTACATACACATCTAGAGAGAGGTGGCTTTTCCTCTCCTTTGCTCATTTTTTTTGTTGTTGTTTTGTTTTGTTTTTTAAGTGTCATTAAAGTTGTGTTCCTTAGCATATTTACTTGGCAGTATGAAAGGATCAGTGTATTACTGTATGTTAGGTTGACCTTATTAGTAGCTGCTCAGTGTTTCTCTTAACATTAGTGAGCTCATGAGCAAGCACACTCAAGTTCCTTGGCTGTCCCTGTCACCTCTGGTCAGGGCAGACCATCAGGTGGCAGCGTCACTCTCATCCTGATGTCCGGTTTCCCCAGCACAGTTTTTCCTTGCTCTTCTGCAGCATTTAGTTGTACAGACGCTGACAGCAGGTTGTTCCCTGCCAGTGGGCATCTGATAGCTTCTAGTTTTCTCTGCCTACAGTAAAGCTGCTGTGAGCTGTTGGTAGACATATCTCTGTTCACTCTGTATCAGTGTGATCTGTTTTAAAAGTAGGCTTGTTGCCAAATTGTGTTCTACAATGTGGTGACTGGCATGCCAGGGGCACATGCCTGTGGTGGCATAGAGTGGCAGAACGGTTTCTTCTTTAGTGGAAAAGCTCTTGTCTGAACCCGCCTTTTGTGGCTATCCAGAAACAGTCTAACATCTTCCCTTCTGTCTTGAGGATGTGACAGGCCTCACATAGTTGAATCTGTGACATGTAGAAGGGGCAGAACAGGAGGGCAGGCTCCTGTGTGTGAGAGAGCTCACTTGGCTGCACCAGGGCTCGAGCCAGCCCAGCCACAGGCTACATCTCCTTCCTCTAGGAGGCAGACAGGCGGATCCTGCAGGCCCTCCTAGAGAAAGAGGAGGAGGTCCAGCGTGTCCACTTGGCCAGGAGGGAGCAGGCCCTGGCTGACGCAGCCTGGATGAAGCAGGTCATCGAGGAGCAGCTGCAGCTAGAGAGAGCACGGGAGGCAGAGCTGCAGGTGCTGTTGAGGTGAGAGGTGGCAGCTGCCTGGGCAGGAGGCTCTTGACCTCTACTCTGGTACTGTGAGATGCTCCTAGGAACCTAGAAGGCCACCATTGTTTTGTAACATCTGTCCTTGTAATTCATCAGTCATCCCAGGGGACCTTTCTTTGCTAGCGGAGGCTTGTGGAGGCTTCTGTCTTATGTTGTTCAAAGTAGATATTGCCATGGCTCAACGTGATGATCTGTTCATCCAAAATCTTAGGAAGGTGTAAGAGATTGTTACAAATATGCAGATGTTTGATGCTTCTTAGGGCTATAAAAATTGCTCTGGAGCCTAAATTTTGTTTGGAGACAGAGTCCCAGCCCAGGCTGGTTTCTACCAACTAACCTCAATTGATCTCCTGTCTCAGCCACTGAACTGACTAGCGCTACTGGCCTGTGCCACTGTGGCCAGCTTTGAGACCTAAAAGTTCCAACTCATAGATTGAAATAAATAATAGGCACTATACATTGAGCACCACTATACTATGTGCCAGCCACTTACTATACCCTGACATTCTGCCAAGCAATAGGTACCAGGCACATGGAGGAGACTCTAGGTGGTTGCTAGCCTGCCCCCTGGGTGAGCTTTCGATGATCCCAGGGATGTGGTGATAGGACTCAGGCACAGGCAGTGCCCACCCCTCTCTGGTTTCAGTGGTTTCATTTACCTCAGTACTAAATGGCTGCATTACCTTTTAAAAAGGGGATGAAGTATAAAAAAGTTAGTTAAAATACTTACTACAAAAGTATTGTCCTTAATTGTCATCTTTAAAAAGCTGGTGTGGGTGAGCTTCCCTGAAACATGGCAGCCCTGTGTGTTCTCTCGTCCGCTCCTTACCTTTGGTAGTGACATAGAGTCTGTGGTGTCCCTTTTGTGTTTGCCTAGGGAGGAGGCCAAGGAGATGTGGGAAAAGAGAGAGGCAGAATGGGCCCGAGAGCAGAGCGCAAGGGACCGGCTGATGAACGAGGTAATTCTAGCCACGAGGGACTTGGACAAGGGTATGATTTGCCACCTATTCTGAGAACAAATCTGCTTTGGTTATTTAAGTGGCATTAAAGTCATTATACAAGAAATACTAGTGTATCAGAAAGAAGCCAAGACATAGAATAAGTACCGGTGAAAACTCCCCAGGGCCCCAGGTGCACGTGCACTTCTTTCCCTGGCTGGATACATGCCTCTTAACTACATGTATTTCTTTCTACTGTGCTATTTGAGTTTCAGCTTTCTAACACATGGGCACGTCTTTAACTCCGAAGCAGCAGCAGCATCACATGACTGTGCTGTAGTTTACTTTTCCATCTCCCTTGGGGGTGTATTCTAAGAGGCACTGCAGGGAACCCCTGTGCAAGAGGGTGTGTTCCTTGGGGCCAGCAGTCAGCAGCAGACCAGATTGCATGAGAGGCGTGGGGCATCTGACTGGGAGAGTCCTCATTATCCCTGCACTGACAGCTACTTTGAAGTGGGTTACAATGATAATTCTGCATTTTGAAACCTTTGGCAAATTGGGTCACGGTTTGTTTTTCACTTTTGTAAATACCAAGTATTTCCCAGTGGTTTTGATTTTCCTCTTTTAAGTTTTCCCCTGGTTGTGCCCACTTAATATGTTCCCTCCTAATGGGTTGTCTGATGTTGGGTTGTCTGGTGGCTTCCTGGCTCCTGGGCTAGGAGTGGGACATCTCTTTGCTTTAGGTCAAGGTCTAAGCACCAAGCACAGCAGGCTTCTGCTGCTTGGAGTAGATTTAAATCTTGAAAGTTAGGAGGATGGTGCAGACTCCATCCCTGTGGCCTAGGTGACTTGCCACTGTTGAGCTGAGCCTCCCTTGTTTCTCTGAAGCTCCCCAGTGTCTATAGAGAAGGCTCCACCAGTGCTTCACTGTCTCCTCATAACATACTGTGGGTTGGAGTGGGAGGAAAACAGCCATGGCCCATGATGATCTGAGACCCACAGTGGTCCGTGGCCCAGGCCTGCTGCCTGTAAATGAAGGTTGGGGTTGAGACTAGGGTGGGTCTTGGTGTAGATGCAGCTGCAGTTGGTGCGAAGCTTAGAGTCTTATTCTGAAGTACAAACTCTTTCCTCGTGGTTGAGGCCAGGTTCTGACAGGGAGGCAGCAGCAAATACAAGAGAAGATTGAACAAAACCGGCGAGCACAGGAGCAGTCACTGAAACACAGGGAGAAACTCATCCAGAGTCTTGAGGAGGCAAGACAGTCAGCTCGCCTTGCCAAAGCGGAGAGTGAAGAACTCAAGTCGGCCAGGAAGCAGGATCTGGAAGCCCAGGTGGGGCTTGAACCCTAGGGCAAAGCGGGGCTCTACAGGGGGATGGGACCCTGGAGGCAGCAGGCTCTGCTGCATGGTTCTTAGGTCACTGTAGGACAGGTCCTTGACTCAGTTCCATCACTCCTTCATAGCTGAGAGTGCAGTGGATCTCTTTGGTTTCCGTGGCAGACCCTCCCTCCTGACTGTGGCTCAGGCTCCACTGTGGCTCCCTAATCTCTGGGGACCAGACTGTTTGTGTATGTATTCATTGCAGTTCCTGCAGCACAGTGTTCTCCCAACACATGATGGATGGATGCATCCAGGGCTTTCATGAGGACCACAGCGCCCCCATGGCCTTTTCCAGTCCTTGGGCTCCCTTCTTGGTTGTTGGCCTTGCCATTTGCCTCCTGCTCAGAGGCAGGCTCTGCCCCATGGGCCTTGTCTCTGGTAACTCCATTCTTGGTGTCCAGGTTGCAGAGCGTCGGCTCCAGGCATTGGAAGTAGAGCAGCAGGCGGAGGAGGCCGAGGAGGAGGCCAAACAGGCAGAAGAGCTCTCTGACGCTCTGCTGCGGCAGGAGGTGAAGACCATGGCTGAGCAGGGCTACCGGCCGAAGGTAGGAACCTGCGAGACAGCTGGCCACCACAGCCCTGTACTTGGCTGTGCTTGGCCCGTTCTGTGGTCTTCCTTCATGTCTTCCCTGAGGTTTATCTTTCCCAGCTGTGGGTAACCTCGGCACAAGGGCTATGTTATTCCTTGATTGGGCTTTAGACAGTCCCTTCAGGCAGTTTTGCTCTGGTTCCTGCTGCTTCAGTCTTTGCAAAGACTGGGATCCTGACTGCTGAGCTGTATCTTATCTGTCTACCCTATTTGGGCACAAAGTACAATCTTAGCAGAGCTGTGACTACAGCTAGTGAGGTGACAGTGGGGCCAGGTGAGACCTGCTTGCCTGCCTTGTCCTCTCCCTCTGACTGATCGGTCCTCCTTCTATGCCTTTCTGTGTGTCTCCTGAACTTGAGTAATCCCTGAGCAGGACACCATGGGGAGCAGAGGAGCAAAGGCCATCCTGCCTGCTCTGAGGGACCTGCTGACCGGGTTTTCTGAACTCTTCCCACCTTTACCCAGGGCCCCTGGCCTCTTGCATTTCGAGGTGTATCCCTCGGATGTGTGCTGAAAAGAAAAGATGGCTGGCTGCTCCACAGTCAAGAGAACTAGGGACCAGGGTGGAAGAAGATTAGAACAGGTCCTCCGTTTGCTGCAGAAGCTCAGGGTCCAGTAGGCAGAGGCTCAGATCAGTATTTCCACACTCACCTGGTCATCATCAGTGCTTGACTCAATGTCAGGGCCTCACAGCGGACACAAAATGCCTCACTTGAGGCTCAGGGTCAAGGCTTTCTTCAGCTGTAGGGAAAACTCAAGTTCTGCTCCAAATAAAAGGGAGGTGAGTTCCCAGGGTTCCAGAGACTGCTGGTCTGATCAGTCTATGCTTTCTTTCTTTTCTCAGCTTCATGGACACCCCAAAATTGCATGGGACTGACCTCACATGTACCTTAAGAAGCGTGCCAAACTGATATGCAGCTACAGACACTTGTACCGTGCTTGGCTCTGCTCGGGGCTCAGGGTGCTGCTGGGTAGGTCAGCCATGTGATCAAGCACATTGTGGTCTGCCTAGATATCAAGATGCCCTGGGTGTGCTGTGCCCACGGGAGCCCTTCCCTGCCCTCCTCACTGAGACAGGTCTCTTGTAGGCTCATGTTTATAACACTCTCCAAAGTCTTGTACTGTTTATAAATAACAAGATTCTAGGTTAGTACTAAGAACAGCTTGTATTCCATGATGGATTATGTAATTTCCTCTTGTCTCACCTGTAATTGTCTCCAGGGAGAACTAGTCAGAGAGAGGAGCCAGTCTTTCAATTTTCAAAATCTCCATGAAAGTTACTCTGTTGAAAACAAGCTTATAGGTCCTGGTGTAGTTTATTTCAAGGTTATTAATTTAGTGGTCTCAAAGGATCACATCTTTGACTTCTGGAAGAAAGGAACTGTGACCAAATCCACCCTCAGATAGTTGGTAGTCTGTGAGTACCTCTGGGAAGACAGTGAGAAGTGAGCCCCTTGTTCTAGAAGTATTTTGTTAGAATTTCCGTAGAGGAATGGTAGAGTGCTTACCTGGCATGTGTGTGGCCCCAGCTTGCGCCCCAGCACCAAGAAGAAGAAAAAATTTCTATAGAGCATTATACTCGGGGGGTGGGAGGGGGAGTGATCCCAGCACATTACCCCTGAAGAGGGACCTCAGAAGGTCACCTGGGGGCCAGCCCGCTTAAGACAGGGGTGTGACTAGGAACCTGTAAAGTCTTGGGAAGGTCTCTTACATGTAGCCCCTTGGGAATTATGTGTCTAGAGCAACGTACTGAACCTGGAGAAACTGAATCCAACTCAACCACAGATGAGCCCATTTCCCCCTCGGTTAGATCAGTGTGTCCCCAATTCATCTCTGCAAACAGCTCCAGTTCCTCGTAGCAATAATCATATTTTTATGACTTGTATTTTCTCCATACCCTTCCTCTGAGGTTTCAGTTTTCATTACACTGTAATCAGAATCTCATATCTCAGTCAATCCTAGCTAATTATAGGGCATTTTCCATGGTTATTAAAATCCAAAGTTTATTACAAAAGCCTGAGTCTGAGGGCTGCATTCCCTTCTCCATCATGCCATAAAAACAAATTGAGCTGTGAAGTATGTCCTCCGTGTTTTCATTTTCCTGTCATGGGGTTCTTTGCTGTGATCCCCTGTACACCACTTTATCATGCACTTGTGACTATTTCCCCATTTCAGATGTTCATTAATAAAGATCTGCTTTGATGGTGTTGTCTCTGGCATCGTTACTGATGATCTTTGTTGCTGCCTGTGGGTGTTGACGGTAGGTGATAGATGTAGCCTGCATCACAGGTCTGTCACTGGTCCTATTTCATAGGTTTATTCATTTTTCTTGTGACGGTAGTGCTCTCTCCCCCTAATTTCCTTGGGAACCACAGAAAATTATTAATGGACACTGCTCCGAGGTAGAACTCGTGTGTGCAGAATGACTGACAAATATATTTTTTTACTGGCATTAAAATTGTGTCACTGGTGCTATTATTGTGGGTGTGTGTGCAGGAACATGTGTGCCATGATGTACATCTAGAGGTCAGAGGCCAACTTTTGGAATCACTTCTCTCTGTCCACCTTTATGAGGGTCTCAAGGATTGAACTGAGGTCATCAGCCCTGTATGGCAAGCACCTTTACCTGCTGAACCATCTCACCAGCCCTTGGTTTAAACATCTCTACAAACCAGGTCAAAATTCTAATTTTCTGAATTAGAGCTATCTTATTCCTGTGATAGCTTGTGTGCTTGTTACCTCCTGTGTGTGGTTGTAGGTGTGCATAGTAACACACCAAGGATAGGAGTACCTCTGAGAAGTGTGTGGTTTCACCATTGTGCAAACACTACATCACAAGCTGAGAGTGGGCTCTGTGGTGCAACCCTGTGCCCATGCCCATCAGCAGTGTATCACGTGGCACATGACTGTACATGGCTTTATCGTTTACTCTGTTCTACTTAAAATGATTTTTAGGATTTCTTCAGCAGCAGCTTCTAAATCCTGTAATAGCGATGCTGTTGTAGCAACTGTGGATATGGAGAAACAATGGTATCTTATGAGTACCAGCCTGTCCTCTACTGCTCTCAGCACACATTCTCCATAGGGAGGGCAGTTCTGGGCTTTGGGAAGTTCCAAGACTGACAAGAAACTCTGACAAAGCCAGGTGTGGCGGTGTACACCTTTCTTCCCAGCGCTCAGGAGGCAGAGGCAGGAGGATCTCTGAGATCAAGGCCAGCCTGGTCTATATAGCGAGTTCCAGGCCAGCTGGGGCTACAGGGAGACCCTGTCTCAAACAAAAAAGACTGACAGGAGTGCAGTCTGAACCCGTTGCAGGACAGGTGGACATCACCACAGGCAGAGCCAGTTGTAATTCATGGTGCTGAGACCAATGGTACAACAGCTGGAGCCATGCAACCTTATTTATGGTAAAGGAGTGTTTACCTGTCACCTGGGTCTCAGGGAGCTCTCCCCATGAATACCAAGCAGCAGCATCAAGCCCACTGTGATGCTTTTGGAAACACTGGACTTGCAGTTCTTAATGACCTGACTCATTCCGCCATGTGGAGCTGGCTGTAGACTTCATTTTGGAGCGGCGTTTACTTGTTTCATCACCTCCAACATTGGAGCCACAGTTCCTTCATTTCCACTCTGTAGTTGATTGTGCAAAAACGGTACTTTTAAAAAGATTTTATTTTTAATTGTGTGTACCTGCATGTGCTACATGAGTGTGGGTGCCCAAGGAGAGGGGGTTAGAGCCCTGGAGCTGGAGTTGCAGGCAGTTGTGAGCTGCCTGACATGGGTGCTGGGAACCAAACTCAGGTCTTCCGGAAGAGCGAGTGCTCTTAACCGGGAGTCATTTCTTCAGCTCCTGTTGCTGCTTTATTCATTTTTGTTTGGGTCTACCTTTTTCTCTTGAAATTTGTTTTTCTAAACCTTGCCTATTCCTGATGATCTTGACCTTTTGTGGGTCCTGATGATGGGAAGCCTTACTGGAGGGGCGATGCTGCCTGTGTACTGCCCTCCCACTGGGTAAATCATACTTTGATCAGCCACACTGTCTACAGCAAGAGCAGGTAGTGCTCTTAACCACTGAGCCATCTCTTCAGGCCCCTAAACAATTTAATTGAATTTTTTGAATTGAAATTTTTTGAATTTCATACAATATATTTTGGTCATATTTATACCCTTCCTCTAGCTACACCCCTCCTATAGTCCCTCCCATGGGGTTTCATATATCATGTCATATGTTAAGGCCTATTGAGCCAAGTTTGTGTCCCCATGACTTGTGGCTTTTGAGACCACACTGACTGAGCATTGAGACCTACCTGGCTATACCACTGATTCTGGTTTACAGTTCAAGTCCAGATATTTCTGGATCTTTCTGGGTGGTTGATAGAAATGACCCAATCAAGGTCCAGTGAGATGGCTCAGTGGTACAGTTTTTGGATGCCAAACCTGATGACTTGCATTCAATTCCTAGCACCATATGGTGGAAGAAATGCCATTCTCTCTCCTCCCCCAACCCCCGAAAAACACTTCTCTGAACACATTTGCAGTTACTTTGGCCTCTAGTTGTTACCCAAGGAGTGCCGGCCCTGCAGATTCAGGCCTTGGTACCTCACAGGCCTTCTTGGGTGGCATAAGGCAGGCCTCTGGTTCTCAGTACAGTTCCACATCAGTACGTCCTGGGACTGTAGGTCCTATATCTCCACCATGGTACTGCCCCGCTGAATCCAAAGGTACCTGAGTCACGTGGTCACCACTCATCAGATGAGTCTCGATTCATCAAAATCCAGAAATCACTCGCTCTCCTGTGTTCTCAGCTGAACACACAGTTGACACCATCTGTCTTGCCCCCAACATTGGGCCCCCAGATCGAGCTCTGCTGCCTCTTGTTACTGTTGCTCAGGGTGACCAGGGGCTTCCCTTGCCCCCATCTTCTCATGCCACACTCATACCTTCCTAAGTGGCCTCCCGCTGCACTGATACTGAGGCAGTCCCTTTCTGGCCAACAAGGACCCTTTGCTTTGGCCTTCCGGAAGCCCTGGAGCACACGGCACTGCTCCTGGGAACAGTCTGGGAAAAAGCTTGCTCGGAGCACAGCACTGGGTCTGGTGGGGGAGCCTGCTGACTGAGGGGCCCAACATAGGAATCTGTTTGAGTCTAGGATGTTTTGTGCTCATTAGAACAGAACAGAAAGCTTCAGAACTGGAGAAAAGTCCGAATTGATTAGGCTAAAAAGTTGTTCCAAAGCAGTAATTACAAAATTCCAGTTTTAAGGAAACTATGTTTTGCTCACTTTGAACAGGATAAGTAGTATTTTCATTTTGTGGTGCTGGGGCTGGAATCCAGTCCTTGGTAAGGACTCTACTAACTGAGCTACGTCCCCAGCCTAGTGTTTGCTCATTTTGGGTATTTGTCTAGATTTTTCCACAGAGAAAGAATAGCTGTAGCCTTTGAAATGAAAGGAAATGTTACTTAAAAAATAAAATGGGGTTGAGATAGCTCAGTGTAAAGGAGCCTTTGTCAAGCTTGATGACTTGAGTTAAATCCCTGGGACCCTCAGAGACAATTTGTGTAAGTTGTCCACTGATTTCCATACACCCTCCTCACCCATGAACACACAGTAAAAAATAGCAATTAATTTAAAACCAAAATGAAGCCGGATGTGGTGGCATGCATTTTTAATCCTAGCACTGGGAAGGTAGATGCAGGAGGATCTCTGTGAGATCCAGACCAGCCTGGTCTACATAGTGAGTTCTAAGCCAGCTGGGGCTACAGAGACCCTGTCTCAAAAAAGTAAACATGGCGCACGCCTGTAGTCCCAGCACTTGGGAGGCAGAGGCAGGCGGATCTCTGTGAGTTCAAGGCCAGCCTGGTCTACATAGTGAGTTCCAGGACAGCTGGGGCTACAGGGAGACCCTGCTTCAAAAATACAAAACAAAACAAAACAAAAAAAACACACAAACCCCAAAATAAAACAAAAACCAAAGGAAGTAAAAGGCAAATGCTGGAGATAATTAAAGGTACAAGGTGAATGTGACCTGAACCCAAGCTCCTATTCCTTACTGAGCTGTGGCTTAACCCTGGCAGGAAAAGGCGGGACTGTCCCGTGGGAGTGCAGGACTGTCTGGCAGGGTCAGCCTCTGAGGACTGGGCTGTCTGAACACAGAATGCTAGCTCTCTCACACTCAGACAGTGAAGCCAGGCTGATGTCTCAAGATGCACACGGTCTTTGTTCAGCTGCCCTGAGGACTAGAGGATGGAGGGTTCACGGGACTTGTAAAGCAAAGGCTGAGCTCTGTTTCCTTACTTGTTGGTGGGCACACAAGTGGCCACTTCATAATCCTGTGGATGTCAATCACATTCAGTAAGGGAGTGAGCAAAGCTCTCCCTGACCCAGGTTTTTGTCCCAGTGCCTACCACACAGCAGCCAGGTGACTCTCTTGGGCAAGGTCTTCTGTCTGAAATGAGTATGGACATGTAGGGTATAGGGAGCTCAAACACATCACTCAGAAGGGCCTAGCCTGCCAGAAGCTTCTCCCATCTTTGCCTTTTGCTGTTTCAATCAGCAGCCAATTAGACATGGGCCACATACCTCACCCTTCCCTCCGTTCAGGATGTGCTGGCCCTGGAGGGAGCATTCCCCCTCCTACAATGCCTGTCAACCTGCTGTGGAATCTGTGAGGTCCTCACATCATTGCTGCTGCTGAACTGGGCAATGTCTTGCACAGAGATTGGTGTCTTAACTGAGCAGGGGTCAAGGAATATCTCAATTTGAAACAACTAGAACAGATGAGAAATGTTTATAGATAAAATAAGGAAGGCAGGGCTGGAGAGATGGCTCAGCAGAAAAAAGCACTGGCCGTTCTTATAGAGGACCTGGGTTTGGATCCCAGCACCCACATGGCAGCTAAAAACCATCTGTAACTCCAGTTCCAGGGGATTCTGATGCCTTCTGATCTCTGTGGGCATTGCACCACACGGATGCACTTACATGCAGCCAAGACACGCATAAAAATATTAAAAAAAATAAGGCACTGACAGACAAAACAGACCCTCCTCCGAATCCAGCTTATTCCTTTAAACCTCCTCCCCAGCAAGTAGAGGCCCTTCAGCCAGCAGCACATCCCTGGCTGGGGAGGGCTGGGCATAGGTCATAGTCAAGCCCTCCAGCATTCCCCCAAAAGAGCAATGTGGAGATAGCCAGTGTCTGCTCCATCCCTCCCCTTTGTAATTCTGCCAGGTCAGGGCCATTCCTCACCCTTTTCAGGCTCCAGGAGGTCTGCTGTGCTCACCCTGGATGTCCACTCAGGCCTGCAGAGCCCCAGTCTAGAGCATCGGCCTTGTGCTCTGAACAGTTCCACTACTACCTGAGCCTTTCGGTCTGAGCCTGTTTCCTCATCTGCAAAATGGGGGACATTTCAATTCCTTTTTAATGAGGCTGCTTTGATAATTTACAGGAAGGTCTATAGACAAGGCAGGGGAGCTACAGTAGTACAGTTTGGGGACCTGGAAAGAGGGAACATTGTGGGGTGTGGTACTGAAGGCAAAGGCCAGGTACAGAAAGGGACCTGGAGGAGGTGGGTGGGGCTATACAGAAAGGGACCTGGAGGAGGTGGGTGGGGCTGAGCTCATTCCTGCCTCTAGTTTCTGGTGGCTTTGTCCTCAGAAACCTACTTCATGGTTGATATGTGTGTATGAAAAGCAGGTGGAACCACTTGAAGGGAGGCCTTCAGCCCAGAGAAAGAGCCAAGGTCAGTGGGCAGAGGTGAAGACCCTCAGTCTCTGTGCCAAAGGGCCTTGTTCCTGGACCTCACCCTGCTGGGTAGCAGGTGGGCCCCTCAGTGTCGGGCAGCCTGTGCTCAGCCTTTTTTTTTTTTTTTTTTTTTTCTGCAGTTGGCCTTGAACTCACAGAGATCTGCCTGCCTCTACCTCCCGAGTGCTGGAATTAAAGGCATGTACCACCATACCCAGCTCTGCCTGCATTTTGACAATATTCTCACAGTGCTATGAGCCAGTGGACAAGCTTGTGGGGGCTTTCAGTTGGTCTCACCTGACATCAGGGTTCAGTTGTCAGGGCCTTGAGGAGCTAAACACAGTCCCCACTGGCGGGACCTCAGGTTTTAGAGAGCTGAGAGCCATTTATGCAGTCTTAGTGGCTTGTCTGGGCAGCAGGCTTTCAGGCTGGCATAGCTGCTGCCACTGGCTTCCTCGCCATGAGGCCACATTATGGGAGATGGCTCAGTTACATGAACTGCCTGCCTGACCATCATAACGGTAACTGGGAGATGCCTCACTTCTTCAGACTGGGGGAATCCTCTTCCTGGTGTGTTCATTTCCTCTCCTGTCAAATGAAAATAAGCCTCTTCCTTCATAGAGTTACTGTGAAGACTGAAGGAGTCTTTGTGTGTTGTGTGTGTGTGTGCGCGCACGTGCCAGCCACAGTACATGAATGGAGGTCAGAGGAATCAAACTCACTCAGGTTGTCAGGCTTGAAGGCAAGTGTCTTTGCCCACAGAGCCATCTCATCAGCCCTTTGAAGAGGTTATCCATGTAGAGAACTAAGCACAGTGCCTGACAGCGTAAACAGCAGGTAAAAATCACAACTCATGCTCGAAAGCAGGCCAAGTGCTATGTAGTGTGCATGGACTGATCAGCCCACTGTAGCCCCTCTCACCTCAGAATCATTAGAAATGATGGTTCCCTGGCCACCCGTGCTGTTGAATCAGAGACTGTGATGGGATGGGCTCAGCAACTCTGCAGGACTTCCTGGAAACCCCACCCAGGAGGCACTCTGGGTATGAGCTGTTGGATCTGATTTGTGGGTTCTGGGGCCTCCCATGATGTTCTCCTATGAGGCTGGACCACACTGGGAGCACACGCCTTTCTCAGCCTTCACCTGCAGAGGCCTCAGACAGTTAGGTCCTGTCTCACTTCCACAGGTGGAACTGCGGGTGACTCTGACAAACCCAAGTGCACAGCCCCCAGGTAAACCTGTACAACGGGCCCTTCTAGAAGTGAAAATAGACTGGTGGCCTTTGCAGACTGAATTATCTGTTGGGAGGAGTGAGGGCATGTATACTGGGCTGCCTTTGGCTGACCTAAAAACTAAACAGTACCAGGATAAAACAGATGGGACTAACTTCTGGGCACAATGGCATGTCCCTCTAATTCCAGTGTTCATGAAGCAGAGGCAGGAGAGTGGCAGTCACAGGCAAGCCTGGGCTATATATAGACCCTGCCTCAAACAAAAGTAATAATGAAAAAGGCCATGTGTCAAAACACGCACAAGGAGAGAAGGCTGACGAGCTCCAAGGTTGGAAGCCCGGAGGGAGGGAGCAAACAGCGTTTCATTAAAGGAGAGAACTCAAATGCTTCTACCTGGTATCTGTAAACATCCACTGGAGACAGGTAGCACATGACCACACAAGACACTTAAAAGACTGTTTATTGTATAACTAGCAGGCACTAACTCTGAAATGATTTTACAACACATGAGGCTACAATAATTACAGGAACAGGATGCGTAACACAAATGAGAAACAAACACAGAATGAGTGACATGGAGAAACACTTGAATAAAAGGCATCTCATTTTTCCTATGCAGCATTTCCTTCTGTAAGAGCATGAGTTAAGTCCAACCAGGACAAGGAAGGAAAGGAAATCAGACCACCAAGAAGCTCGTGGTACTGTTGAGGATAAAAACCTCAGTTTGGGGACACATTTCTGTTTTGGGACAAGTCACTTGAGGATTGGGGTAGCGCTCCGAGTTGTGTTTATAGTTCCAATGTCATGAAACACTGCACTCAAGTCCTGGGGATCAATCCACTGTTCTCTGGCAAATAAAAACTATCTGTGTTCCCAGACGATGATGCATTTTGGGGACTGGAGCTCAGGGCAGAGCTGTTTCCTTCTGTTCATGGCAGGGCAAGCTTATCAGCTGCACCTCTGTCCTCTTTCAAGGAGGTGCACACAGGGAGACAGAGATAGAAGCAGTCTGACAGGATGCAGAGGTGAACTGTGTGAGGCCGTGGGATCCATGTGTGAAGGCAGCCAGGACAAGGAGCAGAGTGTTGTGACCTAGGTCAAACGAGGTGCTTGACCTGGACTTGCAGCCCTCCTGCCCCTGCATGCCCTCTCTCTGGAGCTTCTGCCTCAGGCCGGCACTGTGGACTGATTGCACAATTTGAACTATGTCCTCTGGCAGGTCCTTTTATGTTCAAGGGAAGAAACTGTCCTACCTGTTGCAAACAATTCTCTTCCTAGAAGCCTCGAAGACCTGCCTTTCTTGGGGCCCAAGGGAACCAGCTCAGGATTGTTGCTGGGTTCTTCCCAAGGACCCCAGGGAGCTGGTGGGGTGGGGTAGTGGAGTCCAAGAGGCATGCCGAAAGCTTAACTGAAAGAGACGATGCCTGTCCTCAAGCTAGAAGGCCCCTTTCGAGAAGGCATCTCCAGGGCACCCGACAGTCACGCAGATTTTTAGGCTATGTGGACAGAGAAACGGACCCTTTCCCATGCTACTCAGAGCAGCAACTCTGACAAGAGCACCCACAGCTGGGCTTAGAGGACCTGACACTCTGGCGTTATTTTCAGGACAGTACTGGGTCAAGCTATAGAGGTGATAGAGTCAATTCTGGGAAAATGGAGGCTTAGCACACAGTGAGGTGACCTGTGGTCTGATTATTGAGACAGAACAGCTGGGAAGAAAGAGGGCTGAGAGTAACTTCACAGAGAGTGACAACTGCTGCCTAGACCGGCTCACGGGCTATTCCTGGTGGCCAGGAAAGCCAGCCTAGATTCCACAGGTTACTTGCATGTATTCTATGAGCATGTCTGGATTGGCTGCCACATTTCTAACTAGAGAGATGACATTAAAAAAAAAAAAAATCCAAATTTCTGGTGCCTTGGAAAACAAAATCAAACTTGTAGCATCTACTTTTCTATCAGCAACATGAGGGGAGTGGAAGAAGCTGCTGTCCTCACGGGGTCCACCAGGACCTTCTTAACTGTCCTCTGGGCCCTGCTGCATACCTGGCTGCCTTCATTCATGCACCCTGCCTGCTCTGTCAGATCAGGGTATAGCTGCATGAAACCGATGCAGTCAGCAGGGACAGAAATGCACTTTAACAGTCAGAAAAAGAATCTTTGAGTAACCTCAAAAACTGTCCTGGCATGGACTAGACTTCAACCTGTGCTCTTCCAGAGCTTTGGGAGAATTGCAAATGGCTAGAGCCTTCTCAGGAGAATTCTTCCTGCAGAGCTGTGGGTGGAATCCAGGCCTTAGTGTATTAGGCATACACACGACCACTGTGCTACATCCTAGCCCAGGAACTCTTGATAACTGACGTCTAAGTACCAGTGAGATGAGGGAGAGAAACCAGCTGGGATGACTGGGTCTTACCTGGAAGAAGTCCTTCCAGACGAGCAGACGTGCAGCTGCTCATGAGTAGGCTGTGAGGGTCAAAGGGTGGAGGGTGCACTGCAGTGCTGGCCCACGGCAGGGATGCCTGAACGGCAAGCCTGAGACTCGTGCGTCTCTTTGCTGTGTTCTCAGTGAACTGTCTGGCAGAGTCCCTGACAATGATAGGTAATGGTGGTGCTCCTGCTCTGAACATAGCCAACTGACCATGATGTGGAGGAATTCGTTATTACTTTATTCGAGTCTACGGAGATTTCAGGATGAGGGTAAAATCTTTATGGAGATAGAAAATCAAGATAAAAATATTAAATAACAGAACACCTAACATGATATAAAAGTTAGAAATGGATCAGTTCCTTGTTTTCTCCCAAGAAGTTGATATACTATTTTTAGAAAGTGGCTAAGTCCTTTCCCTGCTTACATGCTTGGAGACACCCCAAACTCAGATATTCTGCAGTAGGATAGAAAATGCACCTATTGCACAATGCTTGGTAGGCAAGAGATAACAATGACTTTGTAAAAAATTCAACTCTCTTAAGAAAATGTTTTACTTAAAAATATCACTTATAGTTTTACCCACAGGCAGGATGGAAAAGTTTTAACAAACTTTTAAGAATGAAACTACTTTTGGACATATATGACTGTGACCTAAACGCTTGCTGACAACACAACAGAACAATAGAAACTGAGCTAGAAAACAGGCACAAAATAAGGCAAGTGGGTTAAATTAATAGTCAAAAATTTGTTAGAAAACATGCAAAAATAATACTGAGGGTTTTTTTTTTTAAAATTTTAAACTATCATTAAAAGTTTCTATAAAAATCTGAAGAGTTCCATGTCTAAATTTGAAGTTGGACTTTAAAAAGCCTAGAAAATATAGAAGGGACTAGAAGGGCCAGCACCCTGCAGCTCAGCTGCTGTTCTCTTTGGTGGTGATGGTGACCAGCTGTTTGGCGGCCTTGGCGATGTCATAGGCACATTGGATGACCTGCTGTGTGACGAGCTGCACATCAGTGGGCAAGCCCGAGTCCCCGGGAAGGGCCTTTCTGCATTCTGACTGGAGCCGGTAGGCACTGGATGTCAGTAACCGGAGGGAAGTTCTCACCGTGTCAGACTTGGGTTTCTAAAAGGAAAAATACAGCTGTTTGCCATGGACTGCAGGGTAGACATCCACCAGCAAGAAGCAAGCATGTTCCTGAAAGCAACTTGAGTTGTTCTATAGAGTCTAAACATTTTTGGTTAGGCATTTTATTTTATTTATTTTTTGGTCTTTTTGAGACAGGGTCTCCCTGTACCCCAGCTGTTGAACTATCTAGCCTTGATTGGGTATTTTAAACATTAAGCTGCTTTGCAACCCATGGCCTAAGGGATAAAGAATCATTCTGATGAAAAGATCAAGGTATATTCCAGGGAAATTTTAGTAGTACCTGATATTTTGAGGTACTTAAACATTTATTTATATTTGTCTTTTACAGTATGAGTGTTTTGCCTGTATGTAAGTATGCTCATGTTGTGCAATGCCCACAGATGCCAGAAGAGGGCATCAGATCTCCTGAAACTGCCATTAGGGATGGTTGTTAGTCACCTACCATGTGGGTGCTGTGAACTGAACCCAGGTCCTCTGCATATATAGCAATGAGCCATCTTTCCAGCCCTATTTTGAGGTACTATTAAACAAATATTAACCACATAGGTAATCAATTCTAAATAAACTTTATCCTATCACTGCTTAGCTTGATTTGTACATCCTTGTCTTACTAAAGTCATATTCGTGTAGAACAAAGCACTTCAGGGCTGGAGAGACAGCTCAGCAGTTAAGAGCAATGGCTGCTCTTGCAGATGATCTGGGTTCTGTTCCCAGCACCCACATGGAAGCTATTAACCAACCCCAACTCTAGTTCCAGGGGATCTGAAGCCCTCCTCTGGTCTCCAATGGCAGTGCATTCCCAGGCACTTACATGCATGCAATAAAGCACTCATACACATAAAAAAAATAAAATAAAATAAGCCGCATGTGGTGGTGCACACCTTTAATCCCAGCACTTGGGAGGCAGAGGCAGAGGCAGGCGGATCTTTGTTAGTTCAAGGCCAGCCTGGTCTACATAGTGAGTTCCAGGACAGCTGGGGCTGCAGGGAGACCCTGTCTCAAAAAGACCAAAAAAAAAAAGGTTAATGTAACAGAAAGATTACAGGCCAGGGATGTAGCTCAGTGGTAGAGCGTGTACTTAGCATGCACAAGACCCTGGATTCTATCCCAGCACCTCATCTCCAAAGATAATACCAAGATCAAAAAGAAAATTCTAAAGCTCACCTAAAGCAGGTGAGCAGAAAAGTGACTTACTTTGGGGAACAATGTCGCCATCTCTGTGACAGCTACATGGATCCTCTCTGAGCAGGGAGTGTAACTGCAAAAAATTGAAGTGGTTATTCAAAAACAGTCTGGATAATTCAAAGGAAAAGAATTCTCAGTGGCCTGACAGGTTCCATTTCTATTCCCTTAATGAAGGGGCTGCATACCATACTAACAGAAGATGCATGCTTATAAAGCAGGGTCCCCATGTTTTCATGAAAGCCTGATAGAAACGCTCTCCAGGTAAGAAACGTGGCAGTGTATACTGGGGCTGCAGGAAGTCACAAGCCAGCTAGGGATGAAGACACTCATGCTTTGTCTAGGGGCCGCCTGCTTCTCATAAGTTTATCTTCCAAATTTCCAGCAAGAGAATCAAGGATTTCCATGCCACAGTCCAAAAGGTGAAGAAGAAACAGCTGGGAACAACGGCTGGGAACAATTCCTGACAAATGCAGTGTTCATGTTACTATGTGTCATTTAACCAGTGTAAGTATAAATCTCTTCATTCAAATGCTCTGGGTTACAAGTGTGCAGAGAACACAGGTGTGCGTCACACTCTCCTTTAGACTCTCATCTATTCTGTCACCAAGTCCCAAGTGCTGGTTTGTGATAAAATGCTATTCTGGCTGTCAGCACTTTCTGTCACTGACAAGCTAAGAAAGCAGCTCCCTGACCCTGTTTGTTCTCATCCTTTCCTCCAGGCTGCCTGGCCTGCCAGGGACTCCACAGATGACAGCACAAGAGCCACAACCCAGGGAGGAAGATAAGCCCAAATCCTACTGATGTGAGAAGAGGGCTGAACTCCTGCTGGGCGGCCACCTTAGCTCCTGACAGCAACCAGGAGACTGTTTCCTGCTTTCCTTTAGAGCCAGTCTCTTTCCACATAGGAATGGTAATCTGGTTTCATCCAGCTGAAAGACCAGCAGATGGGGTTACTCACTGCATCATACAGTGTCAGGTCTGTGGCCTGAGGACTCTATGCTACAAGCAAGGTATAAAGGGACAAACACAAACTTGATGAAGTACTGAGTGACAGTTCCTAAAATTTGCCAAGTTTGGGCTTTATGTACAAGAGGACTACCCCACTACCTGCGAGGAACAGGGGTCGTGGGAAAGCACATTTGGAAGTGCTCTTAGCATGTTAGGCAACACTGCCATGACTGTTGTAGGTTTGGCCTGTCAGAGATGTTTTTAAAAGTTTACCTTAAAGAAACTAAATGCCATTCTGTGTCCATCACACACTTAAAGACCTCAAGTCTCCATTTTTAAACCATAATACTGACTTCTGAATAAAGATTATCATAAGCCAACTCTATTTCAAATTTTATTTATTTTTATTTATTACTGTGTAGGTATATGTGAGAGAGTAAGCGAGAGAGAGAGAACACAGGGGCCCAAGCAAGTAAGGCTTCAGGAAACTCAGGGGTGAGGGGAATGTACTGGATGCAGGGATCCAGAACCAGACTCAAGGGCTGGCACTACCAACTCTGGATAAGCTCAAGCAATGGAGCAACAGAAGAAGGAACTCGGAAAAGGGCAAGGCTTGCATTAGTGTGGAGATCATACATGAAAGCATCCTGGATAAATAAATAGCCAAGGATTTTAACAGAACATTAAATAATTTATAAAATGTAAATTCCCTAGACCAATTCTGGCTTTAAACCAAAAACATAAGCTAATAATTAAAATCATCATTTTGTCCAAAAAAGACAAAAACAACAACACCCTCCCCCCCCAACCCCCCATCATTTTCTCATGGTTTTAAAGGCGATCACATCATAAAATGTATTCAATGGATTTCTACATTAAAGAAAGAAAAAGGAAAATCTCTTCATATTGACGCAAACACCGTATTGCAATCCCTGAAGCCTGAAATAGCTTCCAGGCCACTTTTTTTTTGGTCTTTTTGAGACAGGGTCTCCCTGTAGCCCAGCTGTCCTGGAACTCACTATGTAGACCAGGCTGGCCTTGAACTCACAGAGATCCACCTGCCTCTGCCTCCCAAGTGTGGGATTAAAGGTGTGCACCACTACGCCCAGCAGTATTTTTGATAGCCATCAAAGATAGACATCAGTACAAGCACATTTTCAGTCCAAAACGTCAGCACAGCATTTAAAATTTTAAAATTAATTTTATTTTATATGTATGAGTGTGTTGCCTGCATGTTAAGTGCACCCATGCCATACAATGCCTCTGGAAGTCAGAAGAAGGCATTGGATCCTTTGGAACTGGAGTTACAGATGGTTGTCAGCTGCCACGTGGTGCTGGGAACAGAACCCAGGTCCTCTGCAAGAGCAGTCAGTGCTCTTAACCGCTGAGCCATCTCTCCAGCCCCTAGCACAGCATTTCTTAACTGTGTAAGGAATCAAATGTGGAGCATGCTGACAAACTGGGAGCACTCAAGGATTTGTTCTTGTTCAAGGTTCCCTCACAACTGTTGTGGCTACAGTGTAGGAAATTGTGGTTCACTCTGCCCTATGCGGTGAGGTATAGCCTCACTCATGCCATGAGCAGAGTGATGTGCTCATGCTCACGTGTGAGACACAAATGTCTTGGCAGAAAGCGGGCACTGGGAAGGGAGGGAGATGTGTGCAGTAGCCCTTCCCTTTTATCTTCCCATAAAAACATATCATGCCTCTCTGCAGAGACATGGTTCTGGGAGAAGTCAAATCATAAAAAAGAACAAGAGTGCAGACGGGTGGGTAGTATAGCAGGGACAGCCACAGAGGAAACCCAAAGCATGGGAACATGCTCACAAGAAGATGAAGAGGATAAAAGGGCAGCACTGTGTTCACACCAGGTCTTCTGTCTGTGCAAGGGTCAAACAGCTCTTTCCTGAGCTCTAATCTTTGTTCATGGGACTGCTTTCTCAAACCCAATGGGATGCAGCTTTGAGTATGCCTAGATCTGTCCCTGTGCAAAATGAGAATGTCATGCAGAACAGTTCACAGCTATCAGAATTCTCAAAGAATAGCATCAGAGCAAGAACCAGTCCCTTTATGGGAGTACCTACAGGCTACACTTGTGGTCAGATGAAGCAGAGGACCTTAGCATATACTATGCACACACATGCATGTGTATGCACAAGGGAGCCACAGATAAGCAAGCAGACTTCCCTCAGGACAACCTAGGAACAGTAGTGGCCAGAAGAATTATCTGGCCAGGCATGGTGGCGCATGCCTTTGATCCGAGCACTTGGGAGGCAGAGGTAGGCGGATCTCCGTGAATTCAAGGCCAGCCTGGTCTATACAGTGAGTTCTAGGCCAGCTGGGCTCAGGGAGACCCTGTCTCAAAAAGACAAAAAAAAATCTGCAAGTCATGAGTCACTTTCTCGACAGTTGCTGTCCCCAAAATACTGCAGTTTTATTCTAGATGCATTTATTTTCAGAGAACTTTGTAATGTGGTAAAAGCAATAACATCACCTCAAACCCCCAAACAAACAAACCATACATGTGTTCTTAAATTTCTAATTACTTTCAAGTCACTCAGTTTGAAAGAATCTTGGTTCAGAACTTGAGCAGTGTCCCTGCTGATATGGGGCACCCATTCTCCCAGAGTACAACTATAGCCTCCTTACCTGTCATGTTTATTTTCCTGAGCTGCTCTTAGGAGCTCCTGGATGTTTTTGGTGATCTGTTCAGTCTTCCGGATGACATCCTCTGTGCTGGGGAGCACAGGGCTTGGAACCCCATGAGCTTCTGTTATGTCTGGTACTGAGCCATCACCTGGCCATACCATACTCCTTTGCCTTCCCTTCCGGCTTGATCTGTGGAGAGTAAAGAATGGCCAACCATGACAGGTGCCTGCTAGCTGTTTCTGTTTCTATGTTCCATGTCTCTGGCACTCCAGTGGGCTTGCTTTATGATTTCCTTTATGCTTTTTAGCAGGAGACTCTCAAGACTCACAGTTAAGTTCTTTATCAACTGGCAACTACAGCTTACCTGAAAATTTATCACTCTGTCTTGGGCTGGAAGTTAGGGCTGTTGTAGACAAGGCGAAGGGGAAAGAGGAGGAAACAACAAGTGGAGAAGGTGTGGCTTTATAAAATAATCCCCAGTCAAGCCAAGTCCTTGAGATACAAATGCTGAATGTAACCTGCTGTCAACTTGGCAGAGTGGTATTGACTGCAGTACACTGTAGCTACTATAGATACTCAGAGAAAGGTAGAACGTATTGGCAAAAGGACAAAAGCCCTTGAGGCAGTGACTTCAGTTGAAAAGACACAAATAGGGGGCTGGAGAGATGGCTCTCCAGCCAGTTAAGAGCACTGACTGCTCTTGCAGAGGACCTGGGTTTGATTCCCAGCACCCATATGGCGGCTACAAACCATCCTTAACTCCAGTTCCAGGGGAATCTGAAGCCTTCTTCTGACCTCTGCAGCACTGCATGACACAGGTGCACTCACATACATGCAGACAATATACTCATACACATTAAAAAAAAAAGACAAATACTTTAAGACCTTAAAGCTCTGAAAATATAGACAAGGGGTATAGGTGGTGGAGGCCTGCAGATCTGTACCCGCCCCCCAACCACCACTGCATTCATCCTGCATGTACCCTGTGTCCTCCGGCTCAGTGTCATTAGGAGTGTTGTCATAGTCACTCTCGGGTGTGCTGTTCTGCTTCTCCAGCCTGGAAGCCTACAAAAAAGAGAAGGGACCGCCATTAGTTTAGAGCATCATGTCTTTCTTCAGTCTCTCCAGGGAAGACTGTGGGGCTATGTGACCTTCATACCCAGAGCTCATGGGACAAGAGCCAACCCTTTACTGGAAATCTAGTAAAAGATGAATAGCAGACCCCAAAAGTGGTTTCTTTCTGTACTATTTTCTTCTTAGCTTATCAACAACTCAATAAACCAATCTCTGGTACAAACTAATAAGCCGACACAGACATATAACACTATCTAGTTTAGACTGGAAAGGAACACAGAGTTTGTAATACAGTGAGATGCAGTTAATAAACAAATATACCAGCACTTATCTGACCAAGGACCTTCAGAGCTGGAAGTTACCTGAAGGACTGGGGATGTGTGTGTGTGGTGGTGGTCGGGGGTGACTCATCTACAGGCATAGAGACTACAGAAAAGGAGGATCAAGAGCCCAGGTTTCAACTCTTCAGTACTAGATGCCTGGGGCTCATCAGACTGCTACTGCTCAAAGCAACTATGGCTCCAAGAAGAGCTCTCAAGAAAGCCATCCACATATTGTCTCTGAACCAAAATAGATTAGTCAAGCATGATACTTTCAAAGCACTTTTACCTGTTTCCCAAAATATCTACTTGTTAAAATAAAGAGATTCTATGCAATCATGGAGATTCAAAATGGGCTGTAGATTTTTAAAAAATTATTTATTTACCTGTATTTTTTAATGTATGAGTGTTTTGTATTTAAGTGCAGCTGTGTCATGCAATGCTGGAGGAGGCCAGAAGAGGGTGTTGGGTCCCCTGGACCTGGAGTTATGGATGGTTGTTAACCACCATGTGGGTGCTGGTAACTACTGAACATGGGTCCTCTGCAAGAGCAGCCAGTGCTCTTAACCACTGAGTTAACTCTCTGGCCCCTGGGCTGCAGATTTAAAGCAGGAATCTCCAAAAGACTGGCAGGGCCTCCTCTCCCTATGTGACAAAACATGAAGGGGGGGCTACTTGCTTTGAAGGGGACTGTCAATTCTAGGGCATTCAGTTGAAAACTTTTTCCTCAGTATTCATTTTAGCTATAATGTTTGACATTTCTTCATCTAGAAAATAAAGTGATTATAAGCTAATATAAAATATAAACTGATTACCTTTCAAAATACAAGTAGGAGCTATTTCCATCTGTGCATCTTGAATTTAATCTAGGTTAATTAAAACATGGAACTAAGTAATATAAGTAATATAAGGTCCTAACCCTAATGGCAGAGCTCTGTTTAAACCCACAGAGACAGCCAGCCTCATTAGGAAGGATGACTGTGTGAGAGGAAGTCAGTTTAAGGAAGTCTATGTGAGGTCTGTTAGCTTGTCACCGATCACATGCCTGGCCAGCTCCAAGGCAGGATGCCTCCACAATCATGCCACGTTTTGCTTCCTCTCCCCATGCTGTATGTCTGCCCAGGCCTTCCATATTTCTTGTCTACTTCATTCCTCCCCCGCTAATAGGTGATACTTGTATTTGGTTCCTAAAATTCAGCATGAATTTCCTTATTCACTCAAATCTATCAGGAAGATGATTCAAAGTGTTGCTTGGAGCCACATGAGATTTCAAAGTCACAATCTGCAGTAGCTTCTGCTTCACTGCTGCCCCATTCTGACCGGGCTTTATGACAAGTCAGTGGTTACTGACACAAGAAGCCTGGGTAGCAGATAAAAGGCGGGCACCACATTCAATGGAGGCAAAGTGACGGCAGGTCTTGTGGACCTAATCTCAGAACCCGTACCTCCCTAACCCCTTCTTACCTTTCAGAGAATGTCTAATCTAAACATTTATTTTCTTTTTTTTTTTAATTTTATTTATTATTTTTATTTTATGTGTATGGTGCATTGCCTGCATGTAGGTAAATAATCAGTGTCATGCAATGCCTGTGGAGGTCAGAAGAGGCTGTCAGATCCCCTGGGACTGGAGTTATGGACAGTTGTCAGCTGCCATGTGGGTGCTGGGATTTGAACCTGGGTCTTCTGCAAGAACAACCAATGTTCTTAACCACTGAGGCCATCTCTCCAGCCGCAACATTTATTTTCTTTACTTCACAAACACATATACAACACATATACACACGAACAAATGGCACTTAAATTATATGGGAAAGTTCATTCAGTGCGGCTCCAGTAGGGGAAGAAAATCTAGAAAACAGACTCAATCCTCCCACCCCTTATTTTTGGTTTTTGACAGTCTTGCTATCTAGCCCAGGGCAGCCTCAAACTGCCTACCTCTTGAAATTCCATGTTTTTATAAAGAACAGTTTTGCATTCCCTGATATTAATTTGATAATTTCAAATTGAACACGTTACCAACAATGATCAAGAGTGCCAAACTCCACTTAACATTTTAGAAGAATGAGACCTACACACCCACTAAAATGCTCAGGAAATGTTCCTCAAGTACAGAAGACAACCACCCAGAAAAGAGCTACTTACTCATTAAGTCCTCCTTCGTTGTCAAAAAAGCATACAGGATTTCAATGTAGCCAGCATTTAATTTTATGAAAATTATTGTGAACATGCAGAGCCAGGATTGGTTAAAGTGCTGCTCTCTCAAAGCTGTTAATAGAAAAGTTACCTTATAGCTGGTGCTGGTTCAGTTTAATAGACTTGCCATTTTCTCTGTATATAGACACACCATCAAAACCTAGACCTATGACGAAGCTGCCAGAAATAACCAGGATGAGCTCTCAATGACTTCACTGTTCATTTTGTATAAAACCATTTCAGCAAACTAGTCCTTTTCAAAGCTACCCAAAATCAAAAAATTTAAAAATGCTACAAAATTTTATGGTAGACAAAAGGGCCCACTTGACTCTTCGTAACAAAATCTTAAATGAGGTATTTCATTACTATTTTGCTATTCTTTAACTGGAATACTATAATGAAAACATTACAGCACAATTTTGGAACTACACTGAAGACTAAGTGCCATACATCAAGAATTCTTGCACTGGGGAGGCAGAGGCAGGCAGATCTCTGCGAGATTGAGGCCAGCCTGGTCTACATAATGAGTTCCAGGCCAGCTAGGGCTATAGGGAGAGCCTGTCTCAAAACAAACAAATAAAGACAAAAAAGAAAAAACAAAGAAATAATTTACTTGATTACTTGGAAAGGGTGGTAAGGAAATTCAAAAGGACCATGGCTAGTCCCATGACCTTGGCAGTGGACTGGGGGACTCCCATCATTCACAGGTGAAGAGGGAACAGAAAGGCCTGAAAAGTGGTCCCCTGCACAGAGTTCCTTCTCACCCTTGTTACAAACAGATTGTGCTGGAACTTGAGTCCAGGTCTTCAAATCTGGACTCTTTCCACAGCCCTTCAGGAGAGGAAATGTATCATGTTTTCTTTGTGCATTTAAGCACTTTTCTTTTTACTTGATGGTACCTTTGGGAACAGGAATCATGCCACTTCAGTACTTTATACCCTCTAACTGACTTAACTAAAGGCTGAGTATGGCAGGGGCAGCCTGGCTCCTCTAAAGGAGATTACCTGGATCAGGAACTGCTCTTCAGAGTGTGAGTCACACCAGCAGACCAGCCTGGCCAACCAATGCAAGTGATCAGTTTTATGTCCATACCTGCCTCCAAGTGTTTTATGCCCAGACTGCTACCAAGTGTAACAGTGCTGATAGAGGACACAGGGTCTAAGATTTTGGCTTGGTGCCAATGGAAAATAACTCAGCAGTTTAAAAAGGTATGACATTTTTGTACTAGCCCAAATAGTTTTTTAAGACAAGATCTCACTATGTAGCCCTGGGTGGTCTAGAACTCAGAGATCTGCTTGCTTCTGCCTCCAGAGTGCTAGGATTAAAGGTGTGTGCTATCATGCACACACAAACTGGTTAGATTTGTCCTATTTAACCAGCAGCCAGCTAGCTTTCTACTTGTTTAACAAGACAGTATCCTCAATAAATGCTGTACAGTAATTATTGAACTTGGTTAAATATGTGAAAATGAGCAATGTGGAGTTAGATAAAAGGGAGGCCACCTCGCTATAGATTCTAGTGTATGTACACGTGTGCAATGAGTGCGGGTGCCTGCTGCTGTGAGAAATCAGGAGGGAAGCGCTGCCTCATGCAGGACAGAGGGCAGTTAGCAAGGGACAGGGACAGTGAGGGCCAGCACCCAAGCACAAAGCATCCAGGAGCACTGCCCCGCCTCCAGAGCAGACCATTCAGAGTGTACTTAACCCTTCGGGTGCTTTCGTCCCTGGACCAGGAAAGTGTGGAGGGGAAGGAAGGCAGAGATGAAGAGGAGGTCACAAGCGCACTCCTCCCGATCTGGAAGGGGAGAGAGAAACAGGCTCGGAAAATACAAAACAAACAATACCTCAACCACCTACTTTACAGTGCATTACATGAAGTGTCTGAGCTCAGTGACATCTGTGAGACAGCTCCAGAGCTGCTTACCCCTTGGAACACCTGCTGGGAATCACTCAATTTAATAGGGCTACTTTTCCTTAGAGGAGAAGAGCACAGCTAGCACATCTGTCAAAACTGCTGTAGTTATGTTTAGTGGACTGCCTACAATGATGCTTGTTTTTCAGTCAACAGCTAATATGATGTAAGAAGCTCTACAGATGACTCTGACTGGCCCACACCACCACTTCAATCTTAGCACTATGGCTATACAACTTCTCAATAATAAGACACTTTTCTATTCTATTTTTTCTAAAATAAAGTATACTATGTAAGTTAACAAAGGTTGATTTCCCTAAATTTTGTTTTCAGTTAAGCAAAAAATAAGATTCTATTTCACTTAGTTTAATGGCAAATAATATCAAGTTAGTGGTCTTCAAGGGTTAACCTCCAAAAAAGAGAAGGTAAAAGAATGGATTCCTAGTTACATACAGTAACATTTCTAGTTTACCACTCTAAGTTTGACAAAATTAAACTACGGTTTAATTTATTAGATCTTATCATTAATTTTGCCACTTACCCTGAGTTTTTTAACTACACAATTTGAAGAAATAATTTCTGACACTCAAAAAAGATAAATATTACTTACTCTCTGAAGATAGTATTGCATAAGGAGGTTTATGTCTGTAATATTTTGTTAAAATGTTCCTGCCACTGATCAGTCTTTGGCATTCAGTACTTGTAAAGGTTCACAGTTCCTGTTCTTCACTTTCTTCCCTACCCCCTTCCTTATTTTGAGACAATGTCTCCCTATGTAGCCCAGGCAATTCTCCTGCCTCCACTTCCTGAGTGTTGCTTTAATTCCAGCTTACACTTCATCTTTACAAGATGACACCCCATGCTGTGCCTATGCTGAAGGCAGTGGACAGGCTAAAGCAGCCTAAGATCACTGAACTCTGTACCAGTTCACAGGGGTCATTTGTTCCTGTGTAAGCAGCCAAAAAGGGCACCTTGGATCCTAGAGGCTCCAGTTCGTAAAGGGACACACCTGTCTACTTGGAGTAAGACTTCTGCTATCGACCGTGAAAACATGCTTTCATTTGTGGAAGTGGGGAAGGAAGCTTTCTACAAAACCTGCCAATAGAAGCTGTTTGAGAAATACAGCATGGAAATAGGGGAACTACAGGGGAGTAGGAGTTGAGGAAGAAACAGAGTCCCCAGTCTGGCTAAAAATTTTCAGTCCACGGGTGTGGTTGTGGTAACACTGCAAACACCTGCCAACATGCTCATATGGCAAACACAAGGGCAACTCTCAAAGCACAGCCTGGCATAGACGCGCAGGATCTGTGGGGTCAGAAGAGGGAATGGAGCAGTCAGATTGCACAGAGCAAATGGCTTTGACAGCCGTGTTACTTACGTGAGCAGGGAAGGGCTGAAGTCTCGTCCTGCTCTCCTCAGGGTGGTTTGCTTCTCCCATTGGGAGATATGGTTTCTGACCCGATCCTGTCTCATACATAGACATGGGCCTACTGCCCCGGGCAGATGGCCGTCGTTTTAAGGAAGAGTGGCTGGAAGTGTCTGGGTACTCAGAACCAGTCTGCACCTGATAGGCACTAGTTGTGGCCTGTTTCCTGAGGCTTGAGTTTTCACTCTGGAGTGTCTGAAGCTGAAAGAAATGTTTGGCAGTGGGACTGTGTTTTTGTATAGCAAGCAGACAAAGCAAACATCAAGTTAAAGGAATACAACTATGGACTTATTAAGAGCACTAACAGCAACACTGGATGTGGTGGCGCACGCCTTTAGTCCCAGTACTCAAGAGGCATAGGCAGGTGGATCTCTGAGTTCAAGGCCAGCTTGGTCTACAGAGCAAATTCCAGGCCAGCCAGAGCTATGAGACCCTATCTCAAAAACAAGCAAACCAACCAACCAGTAATAGCTAGTTGAGTTGAAAGCGAAAAGCAATTACAAACAAGAACTTTCTTTTGGAATAAGTGATAACCAACTCCATCATGTAGGGTAATCAGATAGTTTAATTTCTGAATGTGGGAAAGTAATCTGGACATTAAGAAACCAAGCATCTAACCACTTAAAAAGTTGTCATGATGGGGCTGGGAAATGTTTGTAGGCAAGCTGTACTTTGGATTATTCTAAAGCTGTTTCATGTCATTACACTGTGACTTCAGCTCACGAGAAGCTGTATTGCCTACGGCTTTCCAAAGAGCCAACAAGAAACATTAGGGTCAATACATTTTTATTGTACAGCACTTGATATTCCAAATAATTCAAGCACATCTTTAAAAAAATAGGAGGGAATTGAACTATGGTAAGTCTGCAATATTAATGTCATCAATAAAGAACCTGGCAACTTATTGAACTATGCTAGCATCTTCACATGAAGGGATGGCCACAGGCACATTTGCTTCCCTCTGGTGATCAGTCTCTTTTTCTCTCAGGCTGGAGTATTTGACCTTCTCTCATTTGGCTTTGTCACTCAAAAAGCATGCAGTCAGTGGTGTTGACTCTGAATGTGCTAGCCTGTCTACTGGTACCACTTCGCTTTCATCAGACACTGTCACTTGGATGCCCTGAGTACTCTTCTCCATTCCTTACATGAGGGCTGCTCCAAGGTTAAGGAATCAGCAAGGAATTGTGGGGTGTGTTAGCATCTGGCAATTTAAAGGAACAAGGAACTGCGTGTGTTCTACACAGGATCCTTCTCCTCTGTATGCCATCTTCCATGCCTCTGTGTAAGCTAGGAGCATGTGAGTATAACTGTCTACTCTGACAGTGTCAACTCTGACCAAAGTGCCCTCCAGAGCCAAGGTTTAAAAGTCCACAAGCAACCGTGTCTGCACCAGGAGATCCTTACTTTCCATTAGCAAGCGCATGCAGTGTTAGGAGTGAACTTTCAATCTTTATTTAGAAAGTACCAATCTGTGGAAAATACACCAATAGTGGCTGTTCCTCTTCATTAATTAGCACCGTTTCCAAGCAACTGTTAAATGTGAAAGATCAGATATAAATCATACCACTCTCTCAAATCTATTAAAAAATCTTTATCAGCTGGGCGTGGTGGCGCACGCCTTTAATCCCAGCACTCGGGAGGCAGAGGCAGTCGGATCTCTGTGAGTGCAAGGCCAGCCTGGTCTACATAGTGAGTTCCAGGACAGCTGGGGCTAGAGGGAGACCCTGTCTCAAAAAGACCAAAAAATAAAAAAATAAAAATCTTTATCTAGCTTTGAAATAAAATCAGTACACCTTTTGCTATGAAAGCAAATTCCACATTTTTGTACCAGTAGTGCCAAACTTCTTCAGTAGCACAGCTTCCTGCCTCTTGTACAGAATGATCACTCCCATTTCCTGGAGTGCAGACTGCTTTAACGCCACCAGGGCCCACAAAAGTGCTTCAAGGTATTTGCAACCTTCTCTTCAAAGAGAGACAGGTGCATTGAGAGCATACTGGAGAAATCCTTGCAGTCTGGGGTATAGACAGGTGTGAAGGACTTGTCAGGACTATGAATGGGTGGCCTCAAATGAAATGATCACAGTCCAAAGAGTGAGGAACACTGGACTTGTATGTCTGCCTGTCTGTATAAAGAGCCTGTCTTAAAATCAAAAACTACCTGAGCATTGTTAATGCTTCTGAAACATCCAGTCCATGTTTTGTTAAAATGTCTTTGAGATGAGCACAAATTTCTGGTTTCAGATTTTTTGGTTTTGGTATTAGGAACTGAATTTGGATCCTCAAGCATGCTAGGCAAGTGATCAACCAGAGCTACATCACTAGCAATTTGCCCCCACAATTTTTTATATTAAGACAGGGTCTAAATTACTCAGGCTAGCCTTGAACCTGTGATCTTTCTGCCTCAGCCTTCCAAGCACCTGGGATTGCAGGTCTGTGACAATTTTTTAAACAATTACTGTTCTATATGTACAGAGACAATCTTGGATAAATTTGAATGATGCTTATTTTTAAAACAATACTGTATTTATTATTTTTTATTTTAGTATATGAGTGTATTGCCTACGTGTGTGTAAGTACACCCATGTCATGCAGTGCCCACAGAGGTCAGAAGGTGTGGATTCCCCTGGAACTGGAGTCACGGATGGTTGTTAGCCACCATATGGGTGCTGGGACTCAAACCCAGGTCCTCTGCAAAAGCAGCCAGTGCTCTTAACCACTGAGCCATTTCTCTAGTCCCATGATGCTTATCTTAAAAAGAGCTAGGCTACACTTTGTCTGGAAGAAATAAGGCAGGAAATAAGTTATAGATAATTGAATAGTTTCAGAAGTCAAAAGCGTCTGCAAGAATTGAAGAGATAATCAACAAATAATGGCTCTGCCCTACATTTCCTTTTTTTCTTTTTTTGCTGGGCATGGTGACGCACGCCTTTAATCCCAGCACTTGGGAGGCAGAGGCAGGCGGATCTCTGTGAGTCCAAGGCCAGCCTGGTCTACATAGTAAGTTCCAGGACAGCTGGGTATACAGGGAGACCCTATCTCAAAAAGACCAAAAAAAAAACCCAAAACCCAAAACCTTTTTTTCTTTTTTAAAATATTTATTTATATGCGCCTGGGTGCAAGTGTATCATTATTCATGTGTGGAAGTCAGAGGACAAAATATAAGAGCTGGTTCCTTCTCCCGCCATGTGGGTTTGGGGGATTAAACTGAGGGGTCAAGTTTGATGGCAAGCATCTTACCCCAAGCCCTTGCTCTTCATTTCTTATAGAAACTCAAGATACCTACTTTCAGAGATATGGGTTTCTCTAGCGATTTAAAACTTTTTTTTTTTTTTTTTTTTTGGTCTTTTTGAGACAGGTCTCCCTATAGCCCCAGCTGTTCTGGAACTCACTATGTAGACCAGGCTGGCCTTGAACTCACAGAGATCCGCTTGCCCCTGCCTCCCAAGTGCTGGGATTAAAGGCGTGTGCCACCACACCCGGTGATTTAAAACATTTTAAATTAATTACTGTGCTTCTATGTGCATGTGTGTGGGTACACATGCCATACCATACATGTGGATGTCAGAGGGCAACTTTGTGGAGTTCTTTCCTTCCATCTCTATGGGGATTCCAGGGACTGAACTCAGGTCATCAGGCTTATACAGCAAGAGCCTTTAGCAAAAGATGCATCTCACTGGCCAGTTTTTCTTTTCTTTTTTGCACATGTGTGTGTGTGATGTGTGTGCATGTGGAGTCCTGAGCTTGGGTGTTTTCCTCTATCACTCTCCACCTTATATACTGAAGCAGTGTCTCTCAGTGAACCCAGAGCTCAGCATTTCACTAGTCTGGCTAGCCAGTCTGTCCTGGATATTTCTAGTCTCTGCCTGCCCTGCTCCAGGATTACTGGTGGGCTATCATGCCTAGTTGGCTTTTTATGTAGATCCTGGGGATCTGAACTCCACCTCACTTTGTGCTGTAAATGCTTCACCCACTAGGTCATCTCCCCAGCTCCATCTCTGATGATTTCTACGAATACTAAAAAGAGTGCTATAGAATAAAAAAGGTGATGTTTGGAAGAATTGATTTACATAGGCAACATCAGTAAGTTTCATGGGGAAAAAAAAAATCACCCCAAGAAAATTATTAGTGTGATTAAACTACCATCTTTAAGCAGTATTCCTCCAGAAAGGGCAGAGACAATGCAAGCCCTGTGTGTTATAGCAAGGGCTCTTGGTCTGTGCTAGTAACTGCTGTGCACTAGGCCAGATGGAGCTGAGAGGCAGGGAACAAGATGTCAAGGGCTGAATCAGCTTTGAGCATTCCCATCCTTGACAGTAAGGTACTGGAACCATGACTCACGTTCTCAACACTGACCTAGAACTCCACAAGACAGAATCTTAGCCCAAACTCTACGCAAAGGAGCTCATAACCTACTTCTCTAGTGAGCAAGAGTTCAATTCTTTGGTCTTCCTTTGGGAAGGGCACCTTGTGCCCAGGTCTTAATACTTGAGTCTGAAACAATACTCCTCAATGATAGCATAAAATCACAAATTAAAGTCTGTTCTGTTTCTGCTTAGGGGAAGCATAAAAAGCTCATTTAAAAATTTTTTTTATTTATTATTTTTATTATACGTGTATGAGTGTATTGCCCGCATGTGTGTAAGTGCACCTGTGTTGTGCAATGCCCTCGGGATCAGAGAGCATTGGACCCCCTAGAGCTGGAATTACTGATGATTGTTAGCTGCCATGTGGGTGCTGGGAACTGAACCCAGGTCCTCTGCAAGAGTAACCAGTGCTCTTAACTGTTAAGCCATCTCTCCAGTCCCTAAAAAGCTCATTTTTTGAAGAGAACCAATGGTGGGATCAGTACCCACAAATGTCATGCAATAGTTATTGTTTTCAACTTCCCTTTCTTAGCTTCCCAGAAGGAGCCCCAACACATAGTCCCCCTCTGAAGTACAAGTTTTCTTACTACTGGCCATACTCCCTATGCAGTTCTGCTCTCTCATAAGGGAACAACTGAGAGGACGCTGAGCACAGAGACTGTCTCTTAGCATGCAGTTCTTGCTAGTACAGATGGAATGTGTTCTTGTATTTTCTAAGAATCTGCTTGGTGGCAAGCCCTGCTCTAGGCTTGAGGGCACCACAGATAAGTGTTATGTTCTAGTGACAAGTAAGGCGGGATGCTGGAAAGGGTTGCCAGGGCAGAGTCAGAGAAAATGCTAACAGATAAAGCACCCCTTGCATGGTATGGGCTAGGATTTACATGCTCTGTCTGCATGACTGATTATTCTTTAGGGCTAGTAAGAAAGGGGGAAAAAAAAAATCACATCTATGCAGTGGCTTCCAGGTTCCCAGGAAGCCCAGGCAAGTGCAAAGGTTACTTTACCTAACACAAACACTCACTAGGCTGTTGGGTTTCTCCTATGGAGAATTTACTCTGGATGAATTTCTAGATGCAAACCCAAGTCCTGTGCTTATACTCCACAACTGAGCTACATCCCCAGCCAAACAAGAAAATTGAACCCAGGACTGTATGCATGCTAGGCAAATGCTCTATCACTGAGCTGTATTCCTATCCTACTCTGGATGCATTTCTTTCTTTCTTTCTTTTTTTTTTTTTGCTTTCTTTTTATTTTATGTGTATGTGTGTATTGCGTGCATGTATGCAAGTGCACCCATGTCATGCAATGCCCACAGAGGACAGGAGAGGGTGTCGGATCCCTGAGAATTGGAGTTACAGATAGTTAGCTGCCATGTAGGCACTGGGATTCGAACCCAGATCTTCTGTAAGAACAGCCAGTGCTCTTAACCACTGAGCCATCTCTTCAGCCCAATGCATTTCTAATTAGAACTATTTCATTTTAAATATCCACACATATCCTGCTTCCAAAAAGACAGGTTGGTCCCAATGTTTCTAGGTCTGTTAAAATAACTGTTTGTCTTCCTTCTGACCACAAACATGATGACTGAGATTCTTCTTCATACTATGGGATTAAAGAGCCAACCATCCTGGCATTTATTAACATGTTACCTTTTTCTGCATAATTCTCAGCTCGTCACTCAAGTTGTTATTCACCTTCATTAGCTGCTGTATCTTGGCCTCAGAAGCCACTAGAGCGTTTTTGACCTCCATATATTCCTGCACAGTGACTGGTCCATCTGACAAATCTGAATCTAGGCTCTAGAAATAAATTGGGGAAAATGTTCACAATCTGAGATGATAAAATTAAAGACTAACAGCTAAAGAATTTCAAATTCTGGCCATGCCCACTAAATTGCAAAATTAAACCAAATGAAGGTTTTTGGGAGTAATATAAAACTAAGACAAAAAGTAGAGTTGCTTTAAATTTTTGGAAAATTTAAAGTCAGTGTTTACTAATGGAGTAGGCGTGGGGCTACAAATCTATGCTAACAATGACTGTCTTAAGGTTTATCCTGACTTGCATATGTTTTTCTTGCTAATTAAAAAAATTCATTAATTCATTCATTCCATCCTTTTTATTATCAAGCAATTCCAGTGAGTAGGATACATCAGAAAAGAAAATAGACAAAGGCTGCTGCTTCCATGGTGTTTATACACCAGCAGTGTGAAGAAACAAGTAGGATGTAAATATACAGCATGACTGAAGGTGATTAGTGCTGTGGAAACAGATAAAATGGACAGGGCAGGGGTGCAAAAGCTGGAATGGCGGCATGTTAGGGAGCTCGGATATGCTTTGATTAGAGCCTGAGTAGGTAAAGAGGAGGTTCTGGCAGGCAACAGAGGTCAGCTAGAGGGAGCAAGTGTGAGATGGGGGAACCTGATCAGTCAATGGAGGGCCTATACCTAAGGGCCAGTCATGACCTTGGCTTTCACTGAGTGGACCAGCCCCTGGACAGCCCAGAGTGGGGTGCCCCTTCTGCTACTGGCACCATCATTCTTACAGTCAGGTGTGGGGGCAAATGCTGACACATTACTAAGTCCATCTCTCTGCTTCAAATCTCCAGGCCTTCCTAGCCCATCTTCCTGTTCATTATTCTCAGTGTCTGTGGAGTGTCTTTGTGGGCCTCCCAGACCCCTCAGCCCTCTCCCCTGTTCACTCTCTGAGGCTTCAGTCTCTCCTACTTGGCTCCTTCTAGCTCAGGCCCTGAGACAGCACAGTAGTTAGCCCTTTGGATACGTTCAGGAGTACTACAACCAGGGTTCCTCTTGCCCTGCTTAAAGCTTCTGGGCTTTGCACTACCCTGCAGGACTCAGTTCTTCAGTGTGGTGTCATGAACCTCTGCTGTGTGTTTGCATCCTACTCTTTCAGCCTGATCCTACTCCAGACCAGCTTCCTCCTCAAGGCCCTGGCTGGCTTTTCTTTTTCTCTGCTCAGACCTTCCTGCTTCACCTTCTTCACTGCCATTAGGTTCATGTCATTTAAGTCTATTTTATGAAATTAAAGGCATGTACAAAGGCTCCCTTGGTGATCACAGCACTAAGTTCGCTTACCTCCTAAGTTTCTGTCTATACTTTATATGACATATATCTCCTGGTACATTTTTTTTGCCACTACCTCTCTTTCTCAGTAGTAATATCTTCAGGGGGAAGGAGCTAGGCCTCACTGGGAGAATGATATGCAGAGAAGCCACTCAATAAACATCTGTTGAGTGCATGAAAGTCTCTGGTCATGCCTTACAAGCTACAGTGCCAAGACAGCAGCAGGACCATGATCATCCACTTGCCTCAGGGATGAAGGACTCTATTTTAAGAGCATTTACTTTTTCATCTTTACTTGGCCTGAGGTAGCAGTGAACCCAAGTTTATTTAATAGCACCTTCATAGGGCTGGCCCTTGAGCGACTGAAAGGCTTATTTTGCAGGAAAGTCTTTTCTTTTAATAGAATTTCAAAAAAATTTGAAATTGTACATTGTACAATTCAATTCATTTTATGTGTACAAGTATTTAGCCTGCATGTATGTAAGTGCTCAAGTGTGAGCAATGACTGTAGAGGGTGGAAGACAACATTGATCTCCTGGAACTGGAGTTAATGGATGGTTGTTAGCTGCCATGTAGATGCTGGGAACTGAACCTGGGTCCTCTCCAAGAGCAACCAGTGGTCTTAACCACTGAATCATCTCTTCAGCCCCTTCAGCCCTGCTTTTTTTTTTTTTTTTTTCGGTCTTTTTGAGACAGGGTCTCCCTGTAGCCCCAGCTGACCTGGAACTCACTATGTAGACCAGGCTGGCCTTGAACTCACAGAGATCCGCCTGCCTCTGCCTCCCAAGTGCTGGGATTAAAGGCGTGCGCCACCACGCCCAGCTAGCCCTGCTTTTTAAAGTTTATTTTTTAGTGTGCATTTGAGCATGCGTGTGTGCATGTGTGTGTGTGTTGCTGGGCACTGAACTCAGGGCCTTGTGCAAGCTAGACAAGCACTCTGCAACTCAGCTACAGCCCCAGTGGGAGAAAGTCTTAAGAGAAAACATGTCTGTCCTCCTACCTTCTGCCGGTTTGCTCTGCTTGCTTTGGTTTCCAAATCTGTGTCTTCATCTGAGGCCACACTGTCATAGTCTGGCTGGTCGTTGTCTTGACTCTCAATACTATGCTGGTTACTGACTGTTTTCAATATGAGTTCCACATTGTCTATCAACAGAAGCAAATAACTTTACTTCAAAGGCTTAAAATATATTTCTTCTTTCCAAAAAACTATTAGGATAACTTTTTGGTTTAGCCATTTAAAGGCCTGAAAGGAAATGGCAGAAATAGTAATGTTTATATACACATCAAAAGAGGGATAACAGAAAGCTACCCATCTAACAGACAGCTGCACAGAGAAAGTCAAGTGCTCCTCTGATTTACCTTCCAAATATGGAGAAATAAATGAGCTGCCAGATTGAGGAGCTAAGTTCCCAGGTTTGCATACATAGAGCGTAGCTTCACATCATAAAGACAGATTAGGTAAGGTGATGCAATTAGACTATACTTATAACAAGCTTACAGGGGAATGTCAAGTTAAAACAGAAAGCAACCTGTTACACTGCAGCCTAGAAACCAGGTGCTCAAAGACTAGGACCATAGCCTTCAGTTACCTGAATCCAGGGAAGAATGAGGCAGATGAAGGGACCTGATGTAGCAGATATATATGTGTATGTTATTAGCAGCATCTATTCCATTGATGGGCAGGAGTGACTTACAGGTTGATACATTTTGAATATAGTCTCCAATTTATTTCAAACTATACTCCAATTTCTAGTGCTGTTTTTCTGCCAGTTTGATCTGGGTGATGAAGTATGGTTTTTTTCTTTCTCTCTCTCTTTTTCTGACAGGGTTTCCTTGTAGCCCCAGCTGACCTGGAACTTGCTATGTTGATCAGGTTGGCCTCCATCTTATAGAAAACAACTTGCCTCTGCTTCCCGAGTTTTGGGATTAAAGGAGTATACCAACATGCCTGGCTGAATTATGGTTTCTTAAGAGGTATAGGTTATATATTTTAATTTTTAAAATGAGCTTTTAAAAACATATCATGCAATTCTGGAGACAATAAAAACTTAATATGGAGAATGTGGAAAGGAATGAGCAAATACAGAAATCACCTGCAGTCCCTGTCATAAGCTGCTCGCTTTCTTTCAGGCTTATGTATATACACAGTCTTATTCTCAGTAAGTACATTCTAAAAAACTGCCAATGATGATTACATGAGCCACTATCACTGCTCCTGGAGGAAACGTAAGGTTAGCATTTCTGAGAGCTGCTGGTCACATTTTCAAGAGCCAGTCAATTAAGAGCCTTGTTTTCCCAGGCGTGGTGGCACATGCCTTTAATCCTAGCACTCAGGAGGCAGAGGCAGGCGGATCTCTATGAGCTGAAGGCAAGCCTGGTCTAGTGAGTTCCAGGACAGGTTTCAAAAAGACCAAAAAATAAAAAATAAAAATAAATAAATAAAATAAAAAATAAAAAAGTCTTGTTTTATTTGTGTTTAAGGACACCCTATATAACACGCATTCTTGATTCAAGAACACTGAATTTATGACCAACAGCACTTAAGTGATGCCAGAATGATGCTCATCAAACACACATCTCTGGAAGCTGTGTCTCAGTCTTTTTGCACTTAATGGGACACTGCACAGTGCCTTAACCACTGTGCATGGAGGTGGAGTCATGTTTCATTCCATGAAATCATCAACAGAAAGCATGAAAGTAGAACAACATGGCACCAAAAAGGACACTGTATGTGGTCTGAAAACTGAAACAAGGCAGGAAGCTGCCACATTCAATGTCAACCAGGAACATGCTTTGGGTGACTCCATTTTTGTTTTTTTTCTATTCTGCATGTCTGAGAATGCTTGAAATTGCTCTTGGGGTACAAGTAAATTTTTAGCAAGTAAAAGGATTTACAAATATAGAATCCACAGGTGAGATCAAGTCTATGTATATATTTATATGCAGTATATTATCTCTTGTACACATGTAATGTATATAAATATCCCTACAAAACTGCGATTATACTAAACCTTTAAAGTTATTATTTTACTCCATATTATTGCATATTTCTGGAAGAAAAGTTTGTGTACTACTCAGATATGTGACTAATTGTTTCACTAGAACTTAGTTGCTTCTAATGTTTCTGCTTTATATACAACATATGTATAACATCTATGATTATTTTTCTTAAGAGTAGGTAGGCCTATTTTGAGATTTCAAATTTATGAAGACTCTTCAGACTGCACTTTCATCAATTTAATAAACCTTTTCAGAACTTCCTTATTTTTGAATTATTAAACTCCTGAATGAATGAGCAAGGGGAAAAACACATTATTGTCAGTTACTAATTCTTGTCCTAGGGGAATGTGATACTGACTAGAACCTTAATTTTTAAAATTTTTTTATTATTCTTATTTTATACGTATGAGTGTATTGCCTTCATGTAAGTAAGTGCACCCATGTCGTGTGCAATGTTCACAGAAGTCAGAAGAGGGATTAGTCTCCCCTGGAACTGGAGTTACGGACGGCTGTTAGCTGCCATGTGGGTGCTGGGAATCAAACCCGGGTCCTCTGCAAGAGCAGCCAGTGCTCTTAACTGCCAAGCCATTTCTCCAGCCCTCTGGAACCTTAATTTTTATTGTACAAATATCTTGTTTAAGTGTCTCAAGGGCATAGTTTCTGTATCTAGGAAAAGAACAACAAAGCCTAAGAATAGAGTAACAAAAGGGCTATAGAGGAGGTTCATCCTTAGGCAGAGAGACAGGACCTGAACTCAACAAGGCACTTCTGAAAAAGATGTTCAGCTCTCTTTACAATTTTGAATCATAATATCTCTTGCTATAGACATTTAAAGTTTACAGCAACAAATTTTAATTATTTAGAGGTAAAGAGGTTTTGGAGGTAAGTGACAATAGGTGAAATATAATTTTAAGAGCCTTTATTTCCTTATGTCCTTTGTAAAATTTATGGTGCTGAATTTTTTTTTTTTTGTCTTTTTGAAACAGGGTCTCCCTGTAGCCCCAGCTGTCCTGGAACTCACTATGTAGACCAGGCTGGCCTTGAACTCACAGAGATCCACCTGCCTCTGCCTCCCAAGTGCTGGGATTAAAGGCATGCACCACCATACCTGGCAACCACTATGGTGCCAATTTTATGATGAAAGTGACCCAATAGGAAAAAAAAAAATCATATATTAAACAAATCTGAATAATACTTAACAGCTTTTAAATACTGCTAAATTCACCAGGGCTGAGGCAGGTAACTTTCTGTCATAATATATTACCAATGAAACTCACAAAGACTGTAAACCATAGTATCTACAACTGCTGATTCACCTTCAGCTTTAGACTTAACACTCATGTCTTAGAAGGTTCCAAAGCATACGCTCAGGAGACACTTGCCTTTTGAACTGGAAAGAGGACTACCCTGCTGTCTCCTCTTGGCATCACTGAGGATGTCGATGACCAGAGTAGCAAATTCATGGGCATTAAACCGAGCTAATTTCTGTCTGCCCTAAAGGTGAGAAAATAATTGGAAATATAACCCAATGTAAAAATAAAGAAACAGTGACATCAAACTTGTGAGACTGTTAGACCTAGTTCTAACATGATCACAGCAGAGGCAATCCCCTACTCTACTTAAGCAGTAATGTTTTCCATGACACCAGCTTCAAATTATGTACCTAAAAAAACTTATCATTTACAGTGCATATTTGCTTTTATGAATCAAAATAAAATGGTTCTGGTTGGGTGTGCATCTCACTGGTAGAGTACTTGCCTAGCATGTATGAGGCCTGGGTTCCATCTTCAACACTACCAAATACACAAAAATAGTTTAGTTTTGCTGGGCATGGTGGCACATGCCTTTAATCCCAGCATTTGGGAGGCAGAGACAGGCCGATCTCTGTGAGTTCAAGGCCGGCCTGGTCTACATAGTGAGTTCCAGGACAGCTGGGGCTACAGGGAGACCCTGTCTCAAAAAGACAAAAAAAAAAAAAAAAAAAAAAAAAAAGTTTAGTTTTTTACTAAAATTCATTAGTTTTTTTTTTTTTAACTAAAACTATAATCATTAGTTTATTACTGATTTAATTTTGAAGGAGACCCCATAATGAAAATTCAATTTGCAGAGAAATTTCTAAATGTAAAGTTGAGTCTACACCAGGCATGGTGGTGCATGCCTTTAATCCCACCACTCGAGAGGCAAAGACAGGCAGATCTCTGAGAGTTCCAGGCCAGCCTGGTCTACATAGTGAGTCCCAGGCCAGCAGCTGGGGCTCTAGGGAAGACCCTGTCTGAAAAAAAAAAAAAAAGTCTACATGTGGGAACTCTATATATCCACTAATCAGAAGAAGTGAACTACTTCTACATTTACTCACTCCTCTTGATGAATGCTGAGGCTGTTTTTACTGATCTATTATAGACTGCTTAAATCTACTTTAGAAATATTCTTAAATGAGAAATTCCTGTATACAAGGAAGGATGTGCTTAATTTTGAGGCTTCTGATATAAACTACTTGCTTCTCCCTCTCTCTAACAAAGGGTTAACACTATGTTGCCCACAGTGGCTTCAAATTTGAGATCCTCCAGCCTCAGTATAAGAAGCACAGATGTAAGCCAACAAGTTACTTTTCTGTAGCCTAGAGCAATGTGAAATCTCAGTAGCAGCATAAGAAAGCCCAGTATGCTACTCTGCCAGCTTTGGAGTGTCCTCTATTAATTTTATGAATTTCCCATCAAATTTCTTTCTTAGATTTCTAATAAAATTAAGCATTTCTTCACATTGCAAATTATTTGTATTTTTTTCTTCTGCTTTTCTTATCACTTTGCAATCACTTTTCTTATGCCTTTAAATACCATGACATCAGCCATTATCCTAATAATATTACCAGTAACTTTTCAAACCGAGCCACTTGCCTGGTTTCGTGTTGATGAGTACTCAGGATTGACCGGAAGAAAGGGGACGACTGTTGTCTCGGTTACCAGGGTGCTGTGGTTTTGCGTGGCAAGCCAGACTAGCCAGAGGAAAGAGCCAGAGATACAATCTCATCACACCTGGGGTGCCACGGCTCTGCTGGGAGGCACAGCTCACGAGTTACTAGGGAGACTTGGGGAAGCACACTCTGAAGCCAACACACGCAAAAGTACATGTCGACACATGGGTTATGAGGACAGTAGAAATTAGGCAAGTAAAACAGAGGCTGGCAGCTTGCCACTGCCCACTGATAACAGAGCTTAGTAGATAAAGCCACGTTAAGTCACCTGCATCAGTTTCTCGCCTGTCAACTTCGTCGTACACATCCATGGCAAGTTCTTCAAACAAATGATTACTTAGCTGAAAGTAAAAAAAATATCAGGAACACAGGGACAATTAACACCAGGAGGACAAGAGAGGACTGTGACTTATTCACTCTCTTATCTCCAATGTCTTATTCAAAGTCAGTGTCTAGTAAATACCCACTGTTAGAAACAGTAACATTTCCCAGACTGTGCAGATCCTCTAGCAGCATCTGCCTCCCACAGCAGCTTCACTGCTCCATGATAGATGGGTCACTGCCACTGAGAAGGCAAGAGGTAGCTGCCGTGCACAGTCTCAAAAATGGGTTCCTATTCTTTACTCTCCTTGTGATGTCATCCTGCAAGTCTCTTCTGTTCTTGGGAGCTTTTGTCTGTCCCACTGACAATGGGGGACCCTAAATCCCTGGTAGGATGAAGAAAATGTGCCAGTGGGGTTAGGGATGTAGCTCAGTGATAGAGTATCTACACATGCTGTGCAAGGCCCTGGATTAGAGAGCCAGCACCATACAAAAGCAAACCATGCTGCTGAAGTGGATAAGGCCTACCATCATAAAAAGACATGATCCACACTTTTCAGCTAGGCTTCTTTGCTAACTTCTTCAGAAACCATCTTTTTTTTTTTTTTTTTTGTCTTTTTGAGACAGGATCTCCCTGTAGCCCCAGCTGTCCTGGAACTCACTATGTAGACCAGGCTGGCCTCAAACTCACACAGATCCGGCCTGCCCCTGCCTCCCTAGTGCTGGGATTAAAGGCGTGCACCACCACGCCCGGCAAGAAGCCATATTTTAATCCCAGGACAGCTGAGTTTCCCTATCAAACAAAGCACAACCTGCCAGCTCACAGCATAATCATCACACAAACTGAGAAGGCTAACTGGCAGCAGCCAGGAACTGGGAGCATAATAAAGGTCTTCCCAACCTAGACAATGTTAGGCCCCTGCCAGGGTGGCTCTAGTTCTTCTGCCTCATGAAATACCTCCACCTCACACTTGGCAGCTGTGACTTCCTAACTGCTTCCTCCTCAGGGAGGGCAGGTGCTTAAGTTTGTTATACTGCCCACTGTTTTCCTCATATCCACAGACAGTACCTGGTACTTAAAGAGGCTTAGGAAACATCTACTCAGATGAACCGGGAGGTCTTTAATTCAGCAATTTAAAATGCTAACTACAGAGACCTCATAGAATATGTGAAATATCTACAATACACTGTTGAGTGAAAAAGTAGGATACGAAATTCTTTAATTATGATTTCCAATTAAAAAAAAACCTGAAAGAAATACACCAAAATGCTGAGCCTGAACCCACTAAGAGCAAAGTGGTTGAGGGTGATTCTACCTCTTTTCAATTTTCTAGTGTACTCTCATTTCACTTATCACTTAAATAAACTGAGAGACTGTTGCTGGGTAAGATGAGGAAGTTTAGGAGCTTGAATGTGCTTCGTAAACACTCAGGTTTTTCCTCCACTGGACTGCAAGCTATTTTTTATTATTGCTAATGGCAACATGGCCCACAATGACCAAGGGCTTGCATCTCAGGCACTGTGCTAACAGCATCCTATTTAATATTTGCAACATCTCTGTGAAGATAGGATTTACTGTTTGTCCATTTTATAGGCAAGAAAATCTAGGAACAGAAGTTACTAGCTTTAAGACTTTCAAAATGTTAACACCTATTAATTCAAGAGTACAATGATTCTTGTTATATTTCTCTCAGTTTTTCATTCTGGAGGAAGGGGAAAGTACAAGACAAAGACAAAAAAGGAGGGAAAGAATGAAAGGAAGTCTTCAGAAAGAAACGGGGTGATAGAGGAGGAAGACAGAGGGGGATGAATGTACTGTTAAGAGCAATCACCTATGAGGAGATTCTGGGATGGCCAAACGGGGACAGAGGCAGTTTCCTGGTTCCTAGGAGCCCTGGTCTGCAGTCCTGCTGCAGGGGAAATCACCAAACCAAAAGGAGATTATAGTACCTGGAAGGGCTGAGGGTGAACCTGACAAGCCCTATAGACAGGCTGAGTTCATGAGAGCCACACTTAACTCTGTCCAAGGTATTTTAGTGTCTGCCACATGTAAGCTATTACAGATATAATCTCAGCTTTCATGTGGCATCTAGCTCGGCAGATACAGAAGAGTCAAAAGGAATGTGGGTTTTATCCATGTTAAATTATTTATAATAAAAGTTTGCTTTAAAATTACCAGTAATGGGGAAGCACACAATATTCTTCTGCGCTGCCTTCAAAGCTTATCATCTTAGTTATCTTACTTATATGGTTTCTGTAATTTAAGAAAGGCAACAAAACAGGCACACAAACCATAGATATAGAACACAGAGACACCAAACAAATTGCATAAAACACATTTATTTCATAATACAGTTAAATATTAGTGAGGATAAATTCATTTTATGTGATACTTAATAATACTATACAAGATCCTAAAAGGGTCTTCTATAAAAAGGGGAAGGAGGGGCAGTCAGTCACAAATGTGGGAAGCTATGGTTTCAGAGGTGGGCTTTGAGAAAGCTATAAACAGTGAAGGTGCTCTGGCTTGAGAGCTGAGGCACAGAAGCTGTACGGAGCCAGGCAAGGTACACAGCCAGGCAAAAGAGGGTTCCTGGGGTAGGACTCAAGGTCAGCTGCTCTCAGCCTCAGGGAGTTAATCCATAAAGAAACTCCCCAACATGCACACACTCACACACAAGTAGCCAGATGAGAAGCAAGAGCTCTGAAAGGCATCCTTATAAGTTACAAAAAGCAGCTGGGCATTACACGCCTTTGATCCCAGCACTCAGGAGGCAGAGGGCAGAGGCAGGCAGATCTTTGTGCGTTCAAGGCCAGCCTGGTCTATATAATGAGTTCCAGGCCAGCAGGGAGACCCTGTCTCAAAAAGACCAAAAAAAGTAACAAAAAGCAGCAAACAATCTTGGTTCTAATCAGGGGAGCACTGAAAGGAGTTAAGTGGTAAAATCTCACCAGGTGACCAGCAAACACCTGGTGAGGCTTCATGGGAAGGGACTGAAAAAAGGAAAATCTTTCTCACATAAGTCAGTTTCCCAGGGCTCTGACTAAAACTAAGGTGGGCAGGTTGCAAATACAGACATAGTTTAAAGTGAGGTTGTGACCCACAGGCCTGGGAAAGCTCTCAACACACACATGGGTCTGGGCCACCAGCTTTCAGAGCAGAAACTTAGGAAGAATGGTGCACAACAGACAAGAGAGCTACACCATGACAGTGGTGTAATGTATGAACTCACTGCCCCACCAGCATCAATTTTTATTATTCCCTAGCATCCCACCTGACTACTGGAAGTAATCCCAAGGAAGGGTACCCACTTATAATGTATCCAAGAGAAACCAGGGAACTCTGATGAGGAAAAACAGCTCCCTAAGGCCACAAGCAGAGGCTGGACTTTTAACACAACAGAGGAAAAAATGAAACTATTTGAAGTAGTCAGTGAAATCGATATATTAAACAGTGATTTTGGTTTTTATCACTATATACACAGAAGTCAGTTCCTAATTTAGTCGGTTTCAACAGTCTGCTTCTAATTTAACAACGTCTCTAAGCAGGAAACAGTCATCTGGGTAAATAGGTAACTCGGACTGACAAAAGATGCCAACAGGATTTCCATATTGAGTTCATCAGTAAAGAGATACTCACAGACTGAAGTTTCTTCTTGGCAGCTTTTGCCAATTCAGACAAATCCAGGCTGCTAAGAAAATGTACAGAACGAATAAGCAAATAAATAGAAGCATGCTTGTGAACTCTGTAGAACATTAAGATACTCAAAGGATGGAAATAGTATGGTTCATGGAACTGTCCCAGCTAAGCATTTTGTAGCACAAGGGAGTCAGTAAAGAAACTGAAACAATTTGACCAGTGACCCCTAGAAATCCAGTTACACTTATAGTACAGAAAAAAAAAAAAATCCCCACAACTAAGTAACAAAAACTACTGTTAAGTAAATCACCAGGCCTTAAAAAAAATACTCAAGAGACTGGAGTGTGGCTTAGTAGAGTGCCTGCCTGTAAGGCTCTGAATTCCATTTGTGGCACCCCACCCCCCAAAAAGACAAGACAAAAGAAGATATGAAAATAAAAATGTGAAAAACAAGAATGACAAGATTATATCTGAAATAGTAGTTAATAATTTCATAAACTTTTGACAGTATTTATGTAAAGGTAACTGGCTAAACAGGGCACTAAAAGTTCGTTGCTATGGCAATAAACTCCTATCATCTTACAGACCACGGATCAGCATGTTATGGCTTTTTTGCTCAGCTTATGAGCCAAGAATAGTTTTTATATTTTAAAATGTTTGGTGTAGGAGAGGAAGAGCATTGTTAAGATCTAACAACTATGAAATTCAAGTTTTAAGGCCCAGCCCAGTATCTGCAATATCCACTGACACTCGCCATCTACGGGGGGGGGGGGGGGGAAAAAAAGGGGGCGGGGTTGAGTAGCTGTGACAGGCTGTATGGCTCACAATGCCTAAAATATTTCCTATCTGGTCCTCAACAAAAAAGTCTGTCAACCCCTGTTGTAGACAATGACTATGATCTTTTTTGATACATAAATATTTATGAATATAATCTATTGATATAATATACTATCACAACTGGCTAAAAGAGTGACAATATCACTGGCTCCAATTTCCTTATTAGTAAATTTGATATTTATGCTCTTTCAAACTTAAATTACATATGGTAGTTTACTTACAGCCGTCTTATTTCCAAAGTGTATAGCCATAAAAGAGAAAAATGTATGGGCTTTGTTAAAACACCAAATATAATACTCTTAAACACTATATAACCAAGGAAATATTGGAGGCAGATAAACTAGATTGGTCTTTACCTGTCTGCCATTTGAGGGATTATAAAGTGCTGTCCATTTCTGTGATCTGAAACAGAAACCAAAGTTTTGCTCATATCAATATTGATGACATCTAGAAAGGAATACCAACATTATTTTTTCAATTTAAGTTTTGCTTTGGTAATTTTTCATAATTATAAATCACAGGGGACTAGAAGTTCTCAGATCATCTATAATTTCTCCCAACCCTGTCCAGTGTTAGGGGTCATTAGCTTCTGGTGCCAAGTCCAGACATTCAGCAAAAAAACTTATGTTCACCCCAGCCACAAGTGATTATCTCATCCCCAGGATAACTGGAAAAATATTGAGGAAGGGTCAGGTGTGGTGGTGCACATCTTTAATCCCAGCACTTGGGCACTTGGGAGATAGTGGCAGGCACATCTCTGAGATCAAGGCCAGCCTGGTCTACATAATGAGTTCCAGGCCAGCTGGGACTACAGGGAGTCAGATTAGCTCAGAGCAGGCTCCCAACAGCTCACAGTGACAGATGGTGGAGCCTCCTTGAGCTTTGGGAGCCTGATCAAATTAAACAATTAGTAAAAAAAACCAGCCAGGTAGTCTTTGCACGAAGATCTAGAGGGACGCTATCTCTCAGTCTGCTTACTGACTCTGTCCTACCCTAGCTTTTAGAGGATACTGATTTACATTCCAACAAGCAAAACCATTACTAGCACTTATACAGGTTTTTTGTGTAAATACAAGTTATATTTCTCCTAGGTAAACAGGATTACATGACAAATGTATTACATTTTGGGGGTTGCTTCTTGTTTTTCTGAGACAGGGTCTCACTAACTGGCCTGGAACTCATTATGTAGACCAGGGGCGCCACAACATTGAACCTTACATGTCTTACTTAGTAAGGAACTGCTACATTTTTTTTTTTTTCCAGAGTATCTTCTGCTATTTTGTATTCTGAAAAGCAACCAATGTATGGCAGCATATGCCTGTAATGGCAGTTAAAATATTGTGAGTTTGAGGTCAGCCCGAACTCATCTTAAACTCTAGGACTTAAGAAATGATCCTGGGTTGAGGAGATGGCACAGCAGGTAAAGGTGCTAGCAGCATGAGCATAATGACCTGCATCCCATGCCTGGACCCATGTAAAAAGCCAGATGTGTTGAGCTACTGTAATCCCAGCACTCCTACACTGAGATGGGAGGTGGAGACAGGAGAACTGCCTGGAAGCTTGATGGGCCAGCTAGCCTGGAGTACGGTGCAGAAAGAGATCCTGCCTCAACGTGAGGCAGGATCCTTTGACCTCAACGTGAGGGCCAAGGAAGAGTGTACCTGCACAAACATACTATTTAAGTAAGTGGATAAATAAACGGAGGAAAAAAAAGAGCCTGGGCTGGGTACGGTGGTAAATAACTGTAAACCCAGTATTTGGGAGGTGAGGGAGGAGGACCAGAAGTTCAAGGTCATCCTTGGTCATATAGTGAGTCAGAGGCCAGCTTGGACCACATGAGACCCTGCTTCAAAACAAAAAGGATTCCACAACTGATCATACAGAGAATAAGTGTCTGTAAGATGCCCAGCCCTAAGTGATACATCTACAATGGAACCTCTACATCTAAGACTCATCCTAGTCTTTCTTCATTAAAAATGATGCTAGCAATTGGTTTTCTAGGACTAGCCTCTAGCTGGTTAAGCAAGACCCACCTATTTCTAGTTTGCTAAGATTTTAAAATTATAAATGGATATTGATTTGGCTGAATGCCTTTTCTGTACCAACTGATATGACTGTATATTTTTTCTTTTAATTTGTTAATGTGATGAATTACATTAACTTGTTTTATTTTTTAAAAGATTTATTTACTTTTATGTATGAAAGTGCCTTGCCTGCATGTACATTATGTGTACCTTGTGAGTGCTTGGTGCACATGGAAGCCAGAAGAGGGTATCAGATCCCCTAGAACTGGAGTTACAGACAGTTGTGAGCTGCCATGTGGGTGTTGGGAACAAAACCTGGGTCCTTTTGCAAGAACAGCAAGTCCTTTTAAACACTGAGCCATCTTTCCAGCCCCACATTAACTAATTTTTCAAATGCTGAATCAGGCTTGCACATGTGGAACCCCTCTTAGTATATTGTATTTTTCTTTTTATATACTGCTGGATTTAATGTGCTAAAATTTGGTGGTGACTTTTTCTTTTTCTTTTGGTCTCCCTGTAGCCCCAGCTGGCCTGGAACTTGCTATGTAGACCTGGCTGACATCAATCACACAGAGATCCACCTGCCTCTGCCTCCTGAGTACTGGGACTAGAGTGCTGAGCTAAAGTTATATGCCAGGTGAAGACTTTTGTCTCTGTTTATAAGGCCTTTTTAGCGCCAGCTTCATAACATAAGTTGAGAAGTATTCCCTCCCCTCATATTTTCTGAACTTGGTGTTTTCTTTTATTTTAAGACAAGAATCTTTCTGTAGCCCGAGCTGGCCTAGAACTTGCCGTGTAGACCAGGTTGAGTGCTGGGATTGGAGGTGTGTACCATCATTCCTGGCCTGGTGTTTTCTTTAATGGAATGTTTTAAGGTACAAATTCAAATTCTTTGAGATACAGGATCACAGGACTGGGGATATGGCTCAGTCGTAGAGTGCTCACCTAGCACCATGAAGTCCTGGGTTTGGTCCCACTGCAAAAAAGGTGTTGAGAGTATGTGTGTATATGAATACACATACTATGATTACACATATATATTATCTCCTTTTCCTTGAGTGGCTAAAACATTGTGGCTTTTAAGGAATTGGTGCATTTTATTTAAGCTGTTCAATTTATGTTCATAGCTGTATTACCTTTTTTCTGTTTGTTTTTTCCAGTGCTGGGAATCAAGCCCAGAGCCCTGTACATACATGCTAGAGCACTACAACTGAGTTTCATCCCCAGCTTTTTACTACCTATTTTTATTACTTATTACGCCTTATTCATATCCTTGTCCTTATAGTTTCTTTTTTTCAGTATGACTAGACAGCTATCTATTTTGCTGATCTTTATGAAGAATCAACTTGTGGTAACACTAAGATTACCAGTCCCCGGGTTTTCAATCTCACTGATTCCTGTCCCATATTATTTCCTGCTTTGGGTCCATTTTGCTCAAACCCCTGCTCCCCATTTCTCTACAGAAAAGCTTGATTTGAGATTTTTTATCTTTTCTTTTTTTTAACTTTTTAAAAAAACTGAGAATTTCATACATGCATATAAGGTGTTTTGATCAAATCCACACCCTCTCTCCTTTCTAACACCTAACCATAAATCTTTTAGGGATTAGATAAGAGCTCCCAAATACTTTTGCCATTTTTGGCCTTTGGAACAGAGTATGTTGCTAAGGGGCCCAAGGACATTTTGACTTTTAGCCAAGAAACTGGCTACTTTTCTTTGAGGTCTTTAA